CCCCTCTTTATTTTCATTGAGATTTTAAAAATTGAACATGATTATTATTGGGTTTAATTTTTTACTATTTAGAAGTCTCGCTAACCACCGTGACCACGCTCCTTAATAACCTGCCCGTCATTCTACTTTTTAATCATCATTTGGATTCTATTTGGGGCTTTGTTTACTATAGTTTTTAGATGCCCTATCAACCGCTACCACTCTACTCTTTTGAGGGCCTATTGCTTCTCCCATCTTTATTGTCATCTGTCATCGTTGTTCTAGATGGATTTTTTTTTTTGGAAAATTTCATATTTTTCATTCCAATATTTTTTATTTATAAAATGTATTCCTAGTTGAACTCTTATAATTATTGTTCTATTTTTGAAATTTATTTTATTTGTTATTATGAATTTAATAAACTCGTCATGTATTTTAGATAGTATAATGATGGTATATGGCATAGAGTTGTATTTATTATATAATAACTTTCTTTATTTTAAAACTATACAATTGTAGTTTAGTTATCAATCTCCACCACTATAATCCGGACCCATCACAATCTAACGGTCCAAATCTAATATAGGGTGTATGAGGATTAAATTTACTTCAATAATACGGACTAAAGACTATTGAACAATAATTTAATTGTATTAGTAGTCGGATGCTGATTATTTTCCCCTTATCTGAGCTTATTAATTTTATTTGGCTGCAAGCATGTATGCATCAATTAAATTGGGTTAGCTGTGGTCTGATCTTGGGATCGTACTTGATTTTTTTTCACTTCAAAATCCGATTCCACATCTGTATATCAAAGCTATCCGTTTGATTTTTTTTCCCTATTTGGAATGCATGTGGTATTCAATTTTTTCCCTTCTCCCAATCGGAAAATATCCTAGCCCAAATACAATCAGGACTCAAAGTCTCAAACATGCATGCTTGCTCGTGATGTAACGTGAAAGATAAGACTTTCCTATTCGTATTAAGTAGAGTTTGTTTCATACTATGAGATTTTTTTTCTGATAGATCTACTCCCTTTAACCTAAATGCACTGAAATCTAACGGTGTAGATATTTATTCTTTTCTTCGATTAATGTGGGAATTTCTAGCCTCCACAGTGAACGTGGTGTCTTCTTTCAAGGCTGATATAATAGTTACTGTAGATAGATATGGAGGGAGTACAACGGAACTACGGAAGGAAGGCCATCCAACGAGATTTTGAAATCATGCATGTTACTCCATATGTTAAATTCATGCGCTCATCAGTAGCTTCTTAGGACATGTACAACGGTCTCTATGAACCGTCTCTCCCCTTTGCTATATAGGAAAATTCGCTGACATGACTGAGAGAGAAAGAAAAATGGAGAAACATCGATGTTTTGCATGACATCGAACCAACATCGACCCTGTTCGCTAAAAACACGATGAGACGAGAGAAAATACGAGCGTTGCACTATCAATCTACTGATCTACTGGAGAGACGTAGACTTAAAAACTTTTTCTCCAGTGAAGGAATCCGCCGCTGTGTAGATTAGATGACGCTCATTCCTAGATAGCTATTTATTTTTATTTTTATTTTTTTAAGATGGCTATTTATTTCTATTCTTACAATTGACATGATATATGTTGGTGGACAATACTATATATGTTTCTTTGCAGCATGTATTAATGTATATATGTATAGTTTTCTCTCTCAAACAAGCAACACAAAGGATATACGAAGGGTACATTTGATCCGATTCATTCATTTACTTAATTAGCATTCATTAATAAAGAGTCAGCTTAAGAGAACACCCTCTGTAGGTGTACTATCTTTTGCTGATGTGGAGTATATGAGAGACCATTAGACATGCTCTACCATTGAACAGTGAGCTCTACAATTGAACATGCTCCTACTGTTAATTAATTTTGGCCAAATCTTAATAAATCCCTAATACATCAAAATCCATGGCTGCACGCCGCCGCTGACTTTGGTTGGCCCCACGCGACTGTAGCCGAGAGCAACGGCGTCGCATCCGATGCCCGCCGCACTTAGAGCAAGTTCAATAATATAACCAACTACTAGCTCCAATTCATAGTCAATCTAATAGCTCATTTATACAATAGTTACATACTACACTATTAATACCTGGTCCCACCTGTCATTCACACACTGTGTCTTGGAGTCCGTGCTACAGCTGGCTACAAATCTGTAGCCCGCTGCCCTTCTCTCTCCTCGTTTATCTTCTTAAAATATATTTACAGCTGGCTTATAGCCTGCTACTGTACCTGCTCTTACACCTGCCCTCGAAGAGTAGGTCGGGAGGAAGATGTAACGGTGTCTAAGTCAAGGATCTTGGGGGACTAGCGGCTCCATCGTTTCACCCATGTTTCGCTTATTTTAAGAATAAATCAAACGACATATTAAAAAAAATTATATACGTGTTCTTAGCGATATAAAAGTAAAGCCTGAAATATAAACTACGATGAAAACACTTTAAAATCAAGTCCAAATTAAAGTTGAAGATTCAAAATTTGCTTATAAATATAAGTATAAGCGAAAAGATGATGTTGTAGAACGAAAGTTTGCTTTGAGATTGTAACTAACCAGGTGGTGTACATCGAGCAAAGTCTTTCGGGTGGATAAAGGATTGACGTGCTATGAAATTTTCTTCCCCCGCGATCCAATCCCCTCCATGGATCAAGTGAAGCAAGTCTATGTACGTTCGTTCGTTTGGAACTTTGGATGAAAGGGACAGAGCTATAATAAAATGAAGAAGTTCCACTCGCTTGCTTTAGGCCCTGTTTAGATTCCAATCTTTTTCTACAAACTTTCAACTTTTCCATCACATCGAACTTTCCTACATACACAAACTTTCAACTTTTCCGTCACATCGTTTCAATTTCTTCAAACTTCCAATTTTAGTGTGGAACTAAATACAGCCTTACTCTGGTTTGAATCAAATTTAGCTTGATACGGATGCCTAAGTTTAAACTGACGGAGTATATATATGGTGAAAATAGATATACTATAGCTATGTTTTTGAACCGGGCTCGTGGACACCCCTAGCTACACATAGCTCCGCCTCAGGATGCCTTCGACGCTTGCTTAAATTGGCATGTTTGGTACATCACCAACTCCTAATTAAATTTAGCTCCAGGAGTTGGGTCTGGAGTGGAGTTGTGGAGCTGCACAACTCTAGTTCATTTTGTGAGAGAGCTCCACCCAGCTCCACTCCTAGTTTTGGTGGAGCTGAAACTGTTTGGCTGAGCTCTAACTCCAGGAGGGATGGAGCAGGAGCTGGAGCTATGCCAAACATATCTTAAGATTAGCTTTTGTCCCACTGCCCCATTCCCGTCCATTTTCTTTTCCCTGTAAAAAGACTGATTGGAAGCTAGCTGTTATTATTGGTATTACTGGAGTAGAACTTCTCTAGCACTCTAGTGTTCCTTTTTCATCTGAACTTGGAGTTGCCACTGTCAAACTCTAGAACGAAGTCAGCCTTTATAGGCTTAGTTGTAGTTTAGTTTCACATTAAAATTAAAAGTTTAAAAAAATTAAAACGATGCGATGAAAAATTAAAAGTTTATGTGTGTAGAAAAGTTCGATGTGACGGATAAGTCGAAAGTTTGAAGAAAAAAACTGAAGTCTTGACAAGGCCTTAGCATCACCATTGGGTTGGCGTTAAGGTCTAACATCCTGTTGCCACCAATGCTAACATCTTGTCAGATGTGGGAAAAAAAGGAAAAATTATTTTAGGAGATAGTTTTGACTTTTAAGACAGCTGATCGACGAAAACGATGAGAAAAGCACCTAAAACAAATTTTAAAATCTAGTTTAATGCAAAGTTTACTCAGCGGGAGGTGAAAGAGAGAGTGTGTTTCATTTTCCACGTGCACGCTTCCCGAACTACTAAACAGTGTGTTTTTTATAAAAAATAAAATTTGCTTTAAAAATATCATATTAATATATTTTTGAAGTTTAAAATTTTACGTATTTTCCTAATATTCTTTTTTCGTCTCCTCCTTATGCTAATGGCTACTCCCTTCATTTCTAAATACAAGGGATTTAGGTTAGATGAGACACATTTTATTACAACGAATTTAGACATAAAGCATGTCCAGATTCGTTGTACTAGGATAAGTCACATCCAACCAAAATCCTTTATATTTAGGGATAGAGGGAGTACATAAGAAACATTAAATTTCTATCCCATCGGCCTAGGCCTTGTTTAGTTCGCGAAAAGAAAATTTTTGGGTGTCACATCGGACGTTTGATCGGATGTCGGAAGGGGTTATTGGACACGAATGAAAAAACTAATTTCACACTCCATCATTAGCGCATGTGGGTTACTGTAGCACTTACGGCTAATTATGGACTAATTAGACTCAAAAGATTCATGTCACAATTTCTATACTAACTGTGCAATTAGTTTTTCATTTTATCTATACCTAATGCTCTATATATATGTTCAAAAATTCGATATGATGTTTTTAGGAAAAGAAATATTGAGAACTAAAAACATGTCTGAGCAAAGAGGTGAACCGTAGGAGTAGTGGATTTTAATGGGATGGAATAGGAAGAGAATGTGATCACGTGGGTGTTGGACGAAGAAGCAACACATGAGCAGAAAGCAGTCGTTGGGCTCTCTGCCTCTCTCTCTCTCTTGTCGCCACCAAAAAGCTGACCGCCTGCTTCTACAGTGCAGCTGCTCAGCGAGAGAGTTGGGTGCACTTAGAGACTAAATTTAGTCTCTCTCGTAAAAGCATAAATTCCTATGGTAGAGAGACGGACTAAAGTTTAGCCCCACTTTAATCCCTCCCTCCGACCAAACACATTTCAATTCGCAGTGGCTCTGTCAGGTGGCGCCCGCCAACGAGGGTGGCCCACATGTCAGTGGGTATCGAGCGCCAAAGAACGTGGGTGGCCCGCATCTCAGTGAGTAAAGGGGGTGGATTTCAAAAATTCGTGTACTTGCGTGTGTCGATTGTTTTCTACTCCACTTTTCTCTCTCTCGGTCTCTCTCCCTTGCTTCCCTCTCTCTCTCTCCATGGCCTCGCCCTCGCCTTCCTACCAAAGTTAAAATACCCACGTCACCACGTGAAGTGACGTCAGGTGGCCGTGGCCTCAAACCGCCTATCAATATCTCTCTCCGGCGGCGCTGCGGCGGCTGCGATCCTCTCCGTTGAGGGGGACGACGAAGCCCTAGGTGCGCCGCCGCCGCCGGCTGCCGCGCGCAGCGCAGCGGGAGGGAGGTAGGACGAGGCCGGCCGCCCCGCGCCCACACGCTGCGGCGGCTTCTTCTTCTCCACGCAGCACGCCGCGCGCGCTGCGTCGTCCTGCGCCACCGGGCGACGTGGGGGGGGCTGCAAGCTTCCCACGTGCTCCACCGGGGGCGCGCGCGCGCCGTTGCGGGGGAGACTCGAACCCCTCCGCCGCCACCCGCGAGCTGCTGCGGCTCGGCTCCGACACTACAGGCTACACGCGACGCGACGAGGCGCGCGCTCCTCCGCTCCGATCCACCACGCGCCGCGCGCCCGGCCGGCCGCACGCTGCTGGCCGTTGCCGTCCGTCACAGCAGGTGCCTCGTCCTGCGCCGCCACACGGGCTGCTGGCTTCCGAGTTCAGCGACCGCCACCACCCCACCACACCTGCCGCGGCCGCGGTGCTTCGACGCCAGGCCCCCCGAGGTAAGCGATCTCTGCTTGCGCGGCGCCGCGCGGCGAGGCGCTTCACCTGTCTTCACACTGGCTGGTCTCTGCGTTCTCCCTTGGCAGATCCCGATCGCCCATCGAGCGCCGCCCGCTAGCTAGTCGTGGCCGTCCGCCTCCGCCGTCAGCTGTGGGTTCCTCCTCTCCGTATCTGGATCCTGGAGTTCTTCGTCGCCTGCTATCTGCTCTGATTTTAGTCGATTGCTGCTGGGTACGTGACAAATTCTCACTGGTGGAAAAACCCTTGACAAATCCATGGTTGTATTATGATACCGATGAACTAATTTCTCCTAGCTCCGCCCGTCTCTAGCAATTGTTGCAGGCAATGCGTTTCGCTTTGTTCTTATGCAATGCCGTGCTTGTATGTGTTAATTCGCACGCTTTTAGATTTGCTTCATACGCCACCAACAATATTGGCACAGACGCTCCAAATGCAGATGCTATTTTCTACTCTAGTAGTGCAAGTTCATTCATGGCAATATTGGTTTGAATTGGATGATGTCTCCAATAATATCATCTGATCTTAATTCTTTAATGGGGTAGTGTCAGTTGAATGATCTTGATGCATCCTTTTTTTAGTGTTGAAGCTCTATACTACCTGGATTTTTGTACTTCGGTCTGCTTTATTTTGCCTCTCTTAAGATAGTCCTAGTTTGATTTTCTTTCATCAACAGCAAAATCAGATACGGAGAATTATGAAACCAATTTTACCAATGTTCTTTGACAAAGATATCCTCGACAAAACATATTCTAAGAATGGATCTGAAGGTTCAATAACGTTGGCACTGACATATACTACATCTTGGCTCGAAACTGAAGACCCTGACGGCAACATGTAGCAGTTAAACTAGCGGAGCATGCCTAGAAAAGAGGTCTCATGAGTCAAGGTCATGCTTAGAAATCATTAGTGGTCCTCACAAATGGCTTTAGCAATAGTAGTCCCAAAAATTACATGCAGGTTGTTTCTGTTCAGCATACAAAAAAAATGGCCAAGGCACCTTAGCAGTATCCACACTTCAGAGTGGAGCATTATAGATTGGTGTGCTAATCTAGGAGGCAGGCGTCAGGCGTGTAGCATTGTCTTGCGTATCTTTAGTTTTACTTCTAAGCAATGTTTTAAATCTCCCGCTAAACTGCCGCTATCTCCCGCTATAGCTGTTTGAGAAGGGTTCTAGCTATTTGCTCTCATGTACAATTTAGCCGCTATAGCTCCATTTAGCCCGCTATAGCTGCCGCTATAGCTCAGTTATAGCTGTTTTAGAAGCTAACCGCTAAATGCCTTAGCCCGCTATTTAAAACATTGCTTCTAAGTCATATGTTTTTGCAACTAGAGCTATGTCCATGTTTGACAAGAAAAGAAAAGATAGATAACTATTCGTATTTATTTACTAACAGAGTTCCATTTCCTGTGTAATAATGGAGGAAGTATTAGTTCCATACTCTAACATAGGAATACATAAAAATTCCATTATTTTTTTCAATATTATTTGTGCTCGCGGCATCTAAACTAAGAGTGGCTATTTCATTGAATACAGGAATTTTATACCATTCAAGATGGCTCCAACAAGGAAAGGAAAAAAAATTGAAATTCCCATCAACAAGGAAACTGATGCTGTGTAAGTTGATCGTTCCGGTTCTTTTCCTTCTACATTTAGTGATAATCATATTATCATGAATCTGAGATGATTTCTTGAAACTTCATCTTGGTTTATCCTTCTCTAATTTAATGCAATATTAATTAAATATATGTGCAATCACTGTATTTGTAATATAAATATATTTTCTCTATCTCAGGTTTCCAATGGGGCACCATGCATGGTGATGTCATGGTAACTGCTAAACCCCTTTTTTTTTGCGGGAAGTGCTAAACCCTTTGTCTTGGAAAAAGAACTATTTTACACTCCTCAGCTCTTACGAGAGTCTAGATTTCAACCATAAGCTCAAAAACAATACTTGTAACTCCTCAAGTATTGAAACCGGACAAGAATATTAGCATGGCATGTTCTTGGTTGCTTACAACTGAAAAGAGACTGCAGCTTTCGAATAGGTCATGCATAGAAAGAACAACATGACTTAACTATCTGTCATTCACAAATCACAACAATGTTGGCTGCGGGTATGGCAGCAGTTGCTTTGGTATTTGGTAAGAAATGGTGAGGCATGAATGAGCATGATGTCCTGGACAAATGAACACAATTTGGGGGTATCTTGGTGGTAGAGAGCGTAGCAGGAAAAGTTGGCCGTAGAATGTAGATTGTGGGAGAGATGCAAGAACTTATTATTGGGTATATCATTTGGTAGATGCTTCTAGAGTGATATATCTTTTTTTAGATTAGTCTGTATAGAGTAGAATTCTAATTGATCAAAGTAGTAGTAAAATTATTCAATGAGTTTTTGTTTTTTTTTCTTTAGATTAGTCTATGGAAATCATAAAGGTCAAGAGTGTTTGCTCCCATTAACTAAAAATGGCAAGGGCTGAGAAGAATGTGAGAAAAGGTTTATATAAGAGGCTAGGAACTCGATCATGGCGTTCCTTTATTCCTCACCATTCCATTATTAGATCCCGCTGTTGTCATACTACTACCAGTCTACCACCATTGTGCCTATCAGATCTAGCCATGATGTTCCTTTTTTAGATAATAGCCATGATGTTCCTGCCAGTCCAGGATCGACCCTCCTGAAAACCACCACCTACTTTTATTTCAAAGCAACTGGGAGCATGTTTGTGTTGTAGTAGTCTTCACCTCTTCACTATCTGTCATGCCCTGGTTGATGATGTTGTCAATTAGTCACCAACAAGGACAAAACCAATGGTGAAAAGGTGTTTGGTTTCAACACTTTCTGGGTGAAAAGTGTTCAGTTCAAGCGTCTAAGAGTTGAGTGGTGAAAAGTTGATCTCTTATATAAATCGTTGAAATACATGACCGTCATTTCTTTAGAGCTAACTTTTTAGGGTCTCTAAATCTTTAACATACAGGTTTGTTTATCAAGGAATTACAGGAGATTGATTGTGTACAAGAAGCTGATTCATAGTACCGTTCTGCACTATGCTGCAATCAACTGTGGAGATTTCACTTTGCAGTATTGCGCTGCTCAGCTTGTACAGAGATTGGATGATGCAGAACATATGTATGGACTCCTGACAGATGTCAGCACCCGAATATACTTAAACCAACTGGTTTTTGGCTCTGGGAACACTTTGATGCGCTGAAGAAGCATAACAAGGCTGAGGCTTTTATCACATCCTCTTATTGATGGGTCACTATTGGATGTCCCCATGGAAGACTTATTTTTGATAGAGAAGTTTATTGAAAACTAGGAAGGTAGCCCGCGCATTCGCGCGGGCATGTGTCCTATGCTAAGTTTGAGATATTTGTAAGAGTGAAATGTTACATCTACCACAATTTCTCCATAAATTGTTTTCATCGGCATTAATTGCTTTTATAATTTTCTAACCTATTAGTTTTATATTGTATCATATTTAAATAATATCTATAAGTAATTTTTTATAATCTTCTATATCATTTGAAATTAAGGTAGACTTATTTTTTAAAAACATGTCAACGAATTGAAAGTAAAAATAAGTAAAATAAGGCGTTTTTGAAATTGCATATCTATTATCATAGTTCATTAAAGGATTAATTAGGTGGAACATGAAGCTCTACTAAATGTTTAGGTTTATATAGTCTAATATGATTGATGTAGTTTGAGAGCGATCATATATGAACATTTCATGTACATTTCATGTAGGGTGGGTGAGAGGTTCCATGCAGCCTAACATGAATACGATAACAACGAAATATAATTGCGCAGTAATATTTTGAAAATATCATGTACCATGAATACATTCTTTTTTTATGTAAGATAGATCTAACGATTATAACTAATAGTTTACCAGTTTAAAAGTCATAGGAGTATTGCAGAAATGTAGCTTAAAAATTATGGTTGTTTTAATATCCAATGTTATTGCGAAGTAAGCGCAGCTCAACTGGTTAGGTTTCTCGTGGTGGAGCTTGCCCATCTGGGTTCAAGTTCTAGATTTGACATGGGTGTTGGTATTTACGACTAATTATTCTTTTAGTGGTAGGTGACGTACCCATCGACAGCGAAGCGCCGTGGTAACTTCTTCAATTTCAAAATGTACTGGCTCTGTCTTTTAAGATGCTAAAGGGGTAGCGTGATGCTAAAGGGGTAGGGTGCGTGCACGCTGTGTTTCTAAAAGATTTCCAATATTATTGATTGTTTCTGTTTTAGTTTTATAGCTAAGAGGGAGGGAAGAGACGCTAAAATCTATTTGATTTTTTTCTTAAAAATGTATGGATTAGTGAACAATAGCTAGTTCGTATAATATATATTATCCAAAGTAATGATTTTTTTAATAATATAGTTAACTTGGTTCTTTAATTTTAAATTTTATAGTAAAAAATCTAATTTATCTCCTACTTAGGGTACACTCGATCTCATTGATTGAGCTTATGTAGGGTACACAAAACGATATAGGCCATTAATGTATGATTAATTAAGCATTAAATATTACAAACATGAAAATAGTTTTTTTTAAGAAAATGTATAGAATGTATTTGCACAACACGCACAATTTAGTAGTTTGGAGAATATGCTCAAGATAAATGAGGGAGCCAATCTGATAAACACTTTACAACTCAACCTTAAATTTGTTACTTATGTACTTAAAAAATACGTACAAATCAAAAGCGTAGATTGAGTCGTTAACGGCTAAAATTCAAACCGTGTTTAGCGAGAAAAACATGCAACTTATTTTTAGACAATACATTTTTTATTTGTGTTTTTGACAATATGTCCTGAATATTTTAATTACTCATTATTTCATCTTGAACTATCAATATATAGGCCCATTGATGCAAATAAATGCTATCTATACTCAACAATAATAGTGTGAAATGATACGTTTATTTGATATTTTATATTATATTATAGATCTAGTTTTGGCTGTGCATGTTTGTTAAGTGATATATATTTTTTATGCTACCACCTTCACTAGATATATGATATTGGTCATCAATATATAAAAAACAATAAAAAAAATACAAAGGAAGTATAATAGAAAATCCAGATTAAAGAGCGTTGTTTTCTTTCGGTAGTTTCACTAAAAATTTAACGTTGGCTGTCATAAAAAAATATAAAGGAAGTGAAAATCCAAGTTTAAAAAAAGCGATGTTTTTTTTAAATTTTTTTTCCAGTAGTACGTACGTATACAGTATGTTTTTTTTTCTGTATATCATTTCTTCTTTTCTCGGTTGTGGTTGTTAATTCGTACGTACAAATGCCTTCTCATCCTTTTCTAGTCAATTTTTTTATGGAAAGTATTACTCGGTAAATTTGAAGGGATAGATTACTATTTATAACATATCTAATCCAATTGTGTAAACTAATGGGTCCACCAACTTTTTAAGAATTTGGAGGGATAGATTTTTTTCTTTTTTCCCAGAAATTTTAAGTTTTTTTCTATTTTATTATAGCGCCTTGTGGCAGCTTGAGAGCTTTTTATAGCACCATGTGGCGGCATGAGAGCGTTTGTAGGAAATTTAATGGACTTTTAGTATATAATAGAATAGATAATAGATAGATAGATTGATGGTAAGAAAGCGAAGCAATGGATAGCGTGAGGCGCCGCCGTGGCATGGGGCGTGGCTTCTTCACGGCCTCGTAGGAGTGTTTGGTACATATGCACAGTTTGAAAAAAAAACTTAGAGGTGGAAGGAAAGAGAAAACTAACGGATGGCCGGGTCCTACGTAGTTGTGTTGTAAAATACAGAATATAGGTAGGTTTCCATTAAATGATTATGTTATATATACAACTAATCTAAATTATACGGTAATTAAACATTTAATATATATCTATCATTTATTCAAAATATTTAGATGTGTCAATATATCATTCTAATACTCTTCTCAACTATCCAACTGATCAAACGTATACTAATCATGCTGGACTGCTGGTAGACAATAGGCGACTCAATTAGCACGGGGTGCTAGACTTAATCTGTGTGCGACTCAATTAGCACGGGGTGCTAGACTTAATCTGTGTTTTGATGGTTGTATTTTGTTCACAGGAGATAATTCCGATCCGACTTGTTGGTTCGTGACAGTCTCGCCGCCGTATATTACCCATTAACAAATGAATAACGGACATTTCCTTTCCTTTTTTTTCACATCTGTTGCGCATAGGAAGGACATTAGCCGGTTTTAAGGAGAGAGAGAGATTTTAACAAATCTAATCCATATGTTTGCGCATAAATCAATGGCTAGATATTTCTTATATTTTCTCTAATTTATTAGAGTACCACATGGCATTATGAGAGCATTTGTAGAATGCCACATGGCGGCTTGAGAGCGTTTGTAGGAAGTTTAATGGACTTTTAGTATATAATAGATAGATAGATAGATAGATAGATAGAAGATGACAAGCCCAAGTGCAGAGCTTATGGATTTACGGATGAAGGCTCCAAAGATATCTGGTAAGACAATTGATGCCATACACACTAAAAAGGTTAAATCAATTAGTCAATTTATTTGGTTTGTGCATTTCTCTCACTCCCTTGTTTGATATCCTATTCGTCAAAATTTTCAGTGATATTTTGAGTGCTGTTTCCTACATAAATGACCAACTTCCTACAACAATCAACAGTGGATCCACTTCTTCTAAGTATGAAAATGAATCTCAAGGGACATCATTTCCTTTATCTCCACTACGGATTTATAATGGTCAAATCTATTATAACAAGATGGCTGAGGGACAGTACCAAATTTTGTTTGGAAATTTCTACACTGAACTTCCCAACCACATGAGAGATAAAAATAGTTGTGGCCGAAAAGGTAACTACAATAATACCACAGTTGGCCTATTAATTTATTTCTGGTACTACTATGTTGGAATTTGCTATTTATTTACTAGATTATAAATTTTGAAATTAAGTGCATAGATAGAAATTTGTCATCCTAGAAAGTGTACTAAAACAATATCATATGTTTCTAAGCTCTATTGAGTCGATGTGTATGCAAAATTTCTTTGGTAGCATTCAAAATTCAATTTGTTAAACATCATGTATGGAATTCAATTGAAGTTTCACAACTTTTCATAACTTCAAAAATTTTGAATTCTAGGTAGTCAAATTTCTTTACATAGCATTGAAGTCAATGATAATTTTATTTAATTTTATTTTTGAGTATTTCAACTTTTGTTTTTGCGTGGCAGTGTTTCAGTTCTTGATCGTATTTCAAATTCCAACTTGTAATCTAAAACTTAACTTTCTTAGGTTTGAATTTTATGCTCCAAAAGTTTAAAAAAAATGTTAAAATTACAAAATAATTACCACATCTGCTAACAGTTAAATGGCATATGCTAAATAAAGATCTTGACATGATTCTAGGATTTGAAGAAAAATATTTAGTTGTATTCAGGTGATAGAATGAAATTACTTCTTCAGCATGTAGTTTAAGTTATTTAAGTTCACATTATGAGCAGCTATACAGTTCAGTGACTTCTCAATAAGTAAATTTGATTAACTTTAGCGAGTTTATTATATTTGTTTTCTAATATACAATTTTTTAATAGCGCCTACTGTTGATGTTATAAAACGTCTTAACTGGGAAGCAGCAGCTACGTTTCTTGATGAATTACATAAGAATATGCTCGAACCCAATGATGAGATGAAACATCTCAAGGATAAACTGAAAAAAAATCCACCTGCAAAGTAAGTTAATTTGCTTGTCAAGCTGCAATTTTTATTTTTGTATAAAGCAATTTTTTGTTATGTAAGACTAATTTTGGATGCAGTTATTCTGACCTGCTATGGGAACCCAGCCTATGGACAACATATGTGAAGATTCATTTTCTTAGAGAAATATTTTGGTGCATTGAAAGCGATGAAGTTACAAGAAAGCTTGTACTGAGAAAAATGGATCCTCTTGGAATTGAGAGCTGCATGGTAAAACTTGGCTATAGTGCTGGCAAGGAAAAGAGTCTTCTACATTCAATTAAATTTCTGAGAAAAAGGGTAGTGGCTCACCAAGATACGACCTACCTGAATTACAAAGGGGATAAGGTAATTTTCAAGCTCTAGGCAGGAGGCTTTACCAAAGTTTCATTAAAAGCTAAGAATAACTGAAGTTTCTTTTCTCCAGAACGATGTTGGCGAATGCAAAAGATTGGTGGAATTACTTGTGCACAAATCGAAGGCAGACTACATGATCGAGCTGGTATCGCATATACGCCAACTTGGCTGGGTGATGGAGTCCCCAATCCTGAGAAGTAAAGTCTTCAAAGCAGCTTCAATTAGTTGAGTGCCTTAACTTCTCCTTAACGTTTCACCTGCCATCAATATTACATACAGGTAAAACTCTGTATATGGAAGCGTTCAGGCAAAGTAAGAAGGGTTAATTTGATCTATGCCACTGTAAATATGGTAAATTAAAATTATACCACTACTATTCACGTTATCTAGTGGGTGCCACTGTGAATTTTTAAAATTGGAGCCATGCCACTCCGTCACTATTTCCGTTCTGTCCATCCACTCTCCGTGACGACGTGAGGCCACTCGGTGACGACGTCCGGACGTCGTGGTCGTCGTCGACGGCGGGCACGGCATCACCGGCGAGACCCCGACGAGCCGCTGCGCTGCGAAGTCCTGGATCTGCGCCGGCGCCACGCTGGCTGCAACTCCGCGCATACCGCATCAGGTCGGGGAACGGCGCCGCCACGGAGGACGCCGACGCCGGGCCATGCTGCGGCGGACGGGGCACGGCGGGGAGCGGCGGCATGCGGAGGGAGGGAACGGTGGATGCCGCGCTTGGAGGGAAGGAGATGCGGCGGCAGCGCGCGGAGGGGATCGAGCGAGTTGCGGCCGACCGGGTGGAGGGATCTGCGGCGGCGCGCGGATCGGGAGAACGGCGGCCGCCACATGTGGAGGGAGGGAGATGAAGCAGCAGCGCGCAGAGGGGGAGGCAGCGAACGGCGGCGGTACGTGGTTGTTGCGCTCCTCGTTTTCATCCTCTTCCTCCTCAGCTTCTTCCTTCCTCCCGGCATGAAGCTCACCACTGCGCTGCTCGGCGTGCGCTCCTGGACCCGAGCGCTCGCGCTGCAGAGGCTACAGCCAAGGGCGACGATGCTGCGATGATGACAAGCAGTGCACTGCTTCCGCATGTCGTGACTTTGTGATTTGATCCATGCATTTGAATGTTGCTGTTGCGTGTTGCTTTCGTTTGCAATTAGTCCACGATCTCCTGATAGAGAATTTCTATGTGCAAACTACCGTGGCGTGCGGCGGCGCCCGTGAGTCCGCACGCTCGATGCGGAGCTCGGCGACGAGGCATAGGTCGTGGTCGGCGAGCACGACGGCGGCGGTGTCGGTGGCGTCAGGGTCGGCAGCGTCATCCGGGGCGGCGGAGGAGGAGGACGGGGAGAGGAGGGGGGAAGACGGAAAGATTGACGGAAAAGATGGAAAGAGTGACGGAGTGGCATGGCTTCAATTTTAGAAATTTACAGTGACATCCACCAGATAACATGAATAGTAGTGGCATATTTTTGATTTGCCATATTTGCAGTGGCATGGATCAAATTAACCCAAGTAAGAAGTAATAGGTAGCAGTTCTTCATCAGGTGTAAGGTTGCCAAGGATGATTGGGTGAGATATGCAGAATAGCTTATGTGTTAATCATTTATACTCCATCAGTATCCATAGCCGTCTGATTTGTACTTTAGTTGGGCCTCTCTTCTCCAGGTTTGTGATTAGCTCGGAAGTTAGGAGGGCGGAACATCATTATGGGTCTCGCAAGGAAGCAAGCTCCAGATTTGGATGGAGAATTTGCACAAGACGTTTGGAGTGAAAAAGAGTTTAGGAGTATAGTGATGCTGAGTTCTTTGTTTTGCATTGGCAGTCAGATAGGCTTACCCTTCTTATTTTGTTTGTCTGTGATCCGTTGTTCTCTGTAAAGGATGCCCTGCAGAAATTCGTTAGTCTTTTCCTGTTAGGGTGCTGCTCCAGTAAGGGGGTTGCGCTAGCCTGGCTTTTCTTTTACTTTCGAGCTCTTTGTACTCGTTGTATCATTTCTAGTAATGGAAATGGGGGCTTTCAGCCTTAGTTTAAAAAAAAATCATTATGGGTCTCGGCTCATGCTTTCTGAGCACATCTTGGTAGATGTTTTTTTTCTTTTCCTTCTTGGTTTCATGTAAGTATATGCTTTGCTGTTGTTACGATTAGTCGGTTCTGCCCAAGCAGGCAAACACACATTCGGCCAGATTATGTAACACCGGTACGTGTCTCGATGTTCTTTTTTCCTTACATATAGTAATATTAGTTGAGGTGGCATTACTGTATTTTTTTCTGTGATGGTTTTGTCCCCATATCATTCATGGTTTTTTTTAAGCGAAATACATGTTGGTCCTTAAACTTGTGAAGTGGTGTCACTTAAATCTGTGAACTTAAAAATTGCATGTTTAGATCCGTAAACTTGGTTTAATATATCACCCCCCGGTGCAATCGTCATTTGACCATGTTTGACCACCAATGTAGCAATGCCATGTAGGCAACACTTTTGTGTTCAGTCCGCTCCGCATATACCTTCGCACATACCTTGCCCTGACCAGTGCATTTCAACCCAAATCCCCCGAAATATCCCTAAATCGGCTAGGGTTTCAACGGTGAGGTTAGCAGAAGGAGGCCAAGAAGCAACGCAATGTGGCTTGCACGCTAGGCATCCCATGGATTCTCCAAGCTCGTTCTCATCTTAAAGTCGCTGAAAGAAGGTGTTGTTGATCAAGTGCCCGTTGTGCAAGGATAAGGTCATTTTGAAGTGCAGAGCAATGGTAATTGCTAATCGGGACCACATTTTCTATGCATGCAAGGAGAAGAATGAGAGGAAATAACGATTTAAGATTTTTTTTTTGGATCTAGTGTCACTATATAGCTACAAGGAGATATATGCGACGTGTTGTGATGTGGAGGGGGCTGAGAGTAAAAGTGTTGCATGAAAGGATGTTTGGACCGGGGCTGGTATATTAAACCAAGTTCATGAACCTAAATGTGCAATTTCAAGTTCACGGACCTAAGTGACACCACTACACAAGTTTAGGGAACTGGCCATGTATTTCGCTCTTTTTTTTAACGATCAACACCATACGGTAGCTTTTAACTAATAATTATACTAACTATATCTATACTAACTATTATGCATGTTATATTTCTAGATTCATATTTTAAAATACTTTCATGTGATGCTAATTTTATATTTGTTGGGATTATAGAATGAAATAAAAAATTGGTCAAAGTATGCTATTGAAGACCGTGTAAAAAAATATAGGTCTTATAATTTAAGATAGATGGAGTAACTATTATAAACTTGAAAATAAATTTATTTGATTCTTTCAAAAAAATCTCTGTATATATTTTTCAGAAAAACTCACCATTAAAGTTCAGAAAGTGTGCTAATAGAAAATTCGGAAGTTGTTATTTAAATTTGCAACCAGGGTTCACAGTCCCGATACCGGATCAATGCTTAGGAGCAATATCATTGGATTTTGTGGAATCCGTCGATAAACTGACAAAAACTGATGAAATTCGAAAAAAAGATGTCAGAAATTTAAAATCCAGTTTGAATTTTCTTGAACTACCGAAAAATCGAACAGTTTGTACTTTCGACCCAATCCAAAAAATCAGGATATCACAAACTCCGAATCGGATTCCACTGAAATTACGAACATATGCTTGCAGCTTATCCGAAGTGCGGAGTACAATATAAAAGAGTAAATTGCATCCAAGGTATACGAATTTGTCAGGTGGGTGCAATCTAGTGCACGAACTTGTAAATTGCTCATTTTAGTGCATGAGCTTGTTTGGTGCGTGCAAAGAAAGGTGAAAATAACACTACATGGATAATAATTAATTTAGGGGCGGATTAGAATACTATGTAAACATATATATGAGAATGTTGCTATTAGCCATACACTTCTTCAATAAAAAGATAGAATGTGATACAGTGAATGCAGAAAAATATATGAAAAAAAATGAGCAATGATATAAGGGTTAGATATATATGGCATTCATCATTTCCATGATGAAGAATAAAGTAGAGACCAAAATTATAAATATTGTATGCCTTATGCATACTCGTTACACGTATGCACGTCACACCCTAGCCAACATCAGCTTGTAAAATTAACATTGCAAGCTATTTTGGTCCTCGCTCGTACGAACTAGACAAGTTCGTGTACCGAAACGAGCAACTTACAAATTTACGTACTAAATTGCACCTACCTAACAAGTTTGTGTACCATCAATGTAATTTACTCACATAAAACTACGAACAGTACTAGAATTCCACCGCAAAACCGAATTTGTACTAAGGTAGTGTTTGAATCTCCTGAAGATGAAGATGAAGATAAATATTAAGTTTTTCACGCAAAACGAGGTGGTAATAACATGTGATTAATTGATTTTAATTATTACAAACTTGAAAATGGATTAGTATAATATTTTAGAGCAACTTTCATATAGAAAGTTTTCGCACGAAACACATCGTTTAGCAATTTGAAAAAGTATGCCACGAGTATCAAAATTTAATCTTGTGCTTGCAGACGAAACGAATAGGGCCTAAGGCTGTGTTTAGTTCCACGCCAAAATTGAAATTCGAAGAAATTAGAACGATGTGATGGAAAAGTTGGAAATTTATGTGTATAGGAAAGTTTGATGTGACGAAAAAGTTAAAAGTTTTTTTAAAAAAGTTGGAATCTAAACAACGCCTAACCTCAGCGAGTCAGACCCTGTTTAGATGGGACTAAAACTTTTAAGTCCCTATCACATCGGATGTTTGGACATTAATTATAAATATTAAACGTACACTATTAATAAAACCCATCCATAACCTTGGACTAATTCGCGAGACGAATCTATTGAGTCTAATTAATTCATGATTAGTACTCCCTCCGTCCCATAATATAAGGGATTTTTAGTTTTTTCTTACAATGTTTGATCACTTGTTTTATTCAAAATTTTTTTGCAAATATAAAAAACGAAAAGTTGTGTTTAAAGTACTTTAGATAATAAAGTAAGTCAAAAAAATAAATAATAATTCCTAAATTTTTTGAATAAGACGAGTTGTCAAACAGTACAAGCAAAAACGCAAAATCCCTTATATTATGGGACGGAGGAAGTATATGTGATGCTATAGTAAATATTCTCTAATTATGAATTAATTAGACTTAAAAAATTTGTTTCGCAAATTAGCTTTTATTTATATAATTAGTTTTGTAAGTAGTCTATATTTAATATTTTAAATTAGTATCTAAATAAGTAAACTAAGGTGGTGTTTGGTTGGAGGGACTAAAGTGGGGCTAAACTTTAGTCCCTATCACAAAAACATAAGTCTCTACCATAGGGACTTAGGGGGTGTTTGGGAACTAGGGACTAAATTTAGTCCCTCTCACAAAAGTATAAGTCCCTATGTTTTTGTGAGATGGACTAAAGTTTAGCCCCACTTTTGTCCCTCCAACCAAACACCACCTTATGTTTTTTGAGAGGAACTAAATTTAGTCCCTAGTTCCTAAACACCCCCTAAAGTTGAGGGGGGCTGCTGCTGCGCGCGTACGCGCCAGCAATTTAGCTGGCGCGCACGTCAGTGGGCCCCGCGCCCTTTTTTTTCGTTCTTTTCCTTTCTTTTTTCTGTTCGTATATTTTTCCCAATTTTGACGCGCGCGTTTTTTTTCCATTTCTTTCCTTTTTTAATCACCTCTTTAGAAAATACAGAATTGAAAGTTTTAAATTTTGGTTTGAAAGATTTTAAATCTTGACTTGAAAGTTTTCAAATCTGGGTTGAAAGTTTTCAAATATCGGTCGAAAGTTTTAAATCTGGATTGAAAGTTTTCAAATTTGGGTTGAAAGTTTTTAAATATGGGTTGAAAATTTTCAAATTTGGGCTGAAAGTTTTCAAATCTGGGAGAAAAGTTTTCGGTTTGAGTTGAAAGTTTTTAAATCTGGATTGAAAGTTTTAAATCTAGGTTGAATGTTTTCAAATCTAGGTTGAAAAGTTTTTCAAATTTGAGATAAAAAGTTGAAAGTTTTAAATTTAGAATATAGTCTTAAATTTGAAAAGTCAAATAAAACAACCAAACGAGATAATACAGAGGAAAAAAAATCTAAACTAATCACAACCATAATCACGTTTTCTAATACAACCTATAAACGATACGTGGTCTCTCTAGGCTAAAAAAAAAACAATTTTGCTATATCTCACTCGAAAGATTTTTTCTTATCTCTCACTCGATTTTCTCACTCAAATTTACAGTGCATTTTCTTGTAAGTTACAGTGTAATTTATGAAACTTACACTGTAACTTTTGTAAGTTACAGTGTAATTTTTGAATCTTCACATGTAAATTTTAAATTTTGTATTGGATTTGGTCTTTTTCTTGAGGATATGGTAATTTAGTGTCCATTATGGTGTTTCTTAATTGCTTTTTGCCTTTTATTATATCTATCGGATTTTAATCCAAAGATTAAAAATCTGTGTGATACGATCATAAAAGGCTGTGTTTAAATCCAAAATTTGGATCCAAACTTTAGTACTTTTCCATCACGTCAACATGTCATACACATAACTTTTCAGTCACATCATCTTTAATTTCAACCAAAATCCAAACTTTGGATCCAACTAAACACAGCCAAAATCTTTCGAAAGATGTATAGGTACTCGCAAAAAAAACGATGATGCAACAGCACGATGGTTTGGGCCGCGTGAGACAGATGGGCCAGAAATACGCGCGATATAAGTTTATAGCACGTAGGCGCTAATTAGGGCACCCACAATGGTTATCTATAGGCTCTCTATAAGAGATCCATGTCAGCATATTTTCCTACTTGGAAGAGATTAAATGAAGAGAGAGAGCAAAGCTATCTACTAACCTGGAGATAGTCTATAGAGAAAAACGAGACAATGTATTAGAGAGCTATAGATACCCATGTAGACATACTATTGAGATGATTTACTATTAATCTAGTCTATTGCTGAGATATACATGTTTTATAGATAGCACCTTACTTTACCATTGCGGGTGCTCTTAGCAAAAGTCCCTCGATAAAGCACCACCTCAGCGTGGACTAGATCTCCGGTTGGCTTACAAGAGAAGGAAGCCGCCGACTTGTTCCTCTCTCTCTCTCTCTCCCCCCCCCCCTGTTTTTGTCCCCATCAGGCTAGTATCAGTATAACGGAGTAGCGTCGCCGCGCGCCTCTCCGCCCCAAACCCTAACCCGCTCCGATCGAGCCCAGGGCCGCTTGATCGATCCTTCGCCACGGGAGGGGAGCGCCCATGGACGCCGCCACGACGTCCGGCCGCGCCGTCGACTGCGATCCCGTGCCGGTGAGGGATCCCTCTCTCTCTCTCTCTCTCTCTCTCTCTCCCCCTCTCTACTGCTTGATCGGCGGCGGTGCTCGATCATGGTGATGATTCGGGGCTCTGGCGGATGAATTGTGCTCCAGAATTTGATTTGATTTCTTTTTTTTTCTTTTGCTTGGTTTGCCGCAGGTGAGGGATGAAGGGTACGTTGATGCCTTGGTGAGGGCGTCGCTTCATCTTATCAGGAAGGATTTCCCTCATGAGGTCCGGGGACATGGCGTCAGATTGCTACAGGTCGTTTAATTTAATTCCTGATGTGCTGACATTATGCGCTTTTTCGTGGACTTGATCGGATGATAACCTTTTCGTTGTGTGCTTCCATTTATCTGCAATTTTTGCCCATCCTATCCCGTCTAAAATATTGGGTTGCACGGTTTAGTGGGAAGGGGTAGTGGATGAAGTTCTCAGTATTTGCCTAATGATCAAATACTTTAGTGAATTGCAACTAAATGGCAGCGTAAAGCAGATGATATATATTCTCCACAATGACACTGCAGATTGAAATTAAAAAGGAGTTGGGGATATATGTTTTGAATCAAATTTAGGAAGAATAATCGTGTGATGAATCTTGGATCTGATTCATTGCATTTTACTACCAACATGTCCTTTGAAACAGTTTTATGATTCATTGCATTATGCTACCATCATAATTATATCATTTGCCAGCCACCTTTTGATTTGTCTTATCACATACTAAGGTACTAACTGTGACGAGTTCTTATGTCAGGCCTGCCGTTGTTTGCAATGTTTATGCTATAGAACCGTGTATTCATCACCTTCTGTCTTGTTATTTTGCAGCATTTGATGAGATTCAGGTGGGAGGAAGTCAGCATAATAAATTGGAGCAAATTTGCTGATGTTTTTAGTTTATTAGGAGTTGAGTTGGGAGTCCTCGATGATCTGGTTTGGAAGAATGCAGCAGCTGATTTAGTTGCAGAGGTTATGATTTAATCTTATTTTATTTATTGTTTGCTGTGATACTAATTCATTTCTTATGTATTATGTTGAAAATTCATACTATTTCTCAATAACAATTTAATGTAGCAGGTGGTTTGGAGCCATGGAATTTCTCTGTTGCATGACCTAATCCCCTGCCTTGTGTGTCTATCAGCAAAGCGTGCTACTGAGGTAAGTTTGTCTATTTTAACCACCACTTTGACCTATTTGTATTGACATTTGTGTGACTAATGTTATTTTGTTTTTTCGTGTGAATTGTTAGACCGAGTTAGTCTGCTTTATTCTGAAGTCAATTTCTGATAATCGAATTGCTCATGTTTCACATTTTGGAGGTAATAATCACAATTCTTTTATGGGTTTTAATCGAATAGTTCAACTAACAGGCAAATTGACACCATTGGTTTTAATAGGTGATAAAGGCGAACTGCTTTCCTTATCTGAGTTCCTTCCGCAGATTTTGCCATTCATTTCCTCTGTGAGTTTTTCTTGGCTATTCATCAGTAGTCTTGGTGGTTTATTGTTTTATGGAAACATGGATTTGATTCTTACTGCACTCCATTAACTGTCCAATTGTAGTTGCTTGAGAAACACGTTGGAGCTGTTTTGGGTGAAAAAGAGAAGTGTCAGGTGGAAGTAGCTGAGGAACATGCATCTGTAGTAAAAGCTGTCCTAGATGCAGCCATTACATATGCAGGGTGGGCTCATGTTGTTGATCTGGGGAAGCACGGTCTTATTAAGGGGTATGCTATCGACAAAGTTGAAACAGGGTGTTACATGGTCAATACTCAATGCTAACTATTGTTTTGCTTTATTTTGCAGATGTGGATGCCTACTTTCTTGCAATGATTTCTGTGTGCACGCATTGCAGTTTTTCAAACTTATATTGCAGAGGTACAGCACATATGTTCATTTTGTCTCCACTTCTGCCTTTTTCTCACTAGCTTGTGCCTGTTCATGTTTCTCCAGGAAAAGACCTGTTTCTATTGCGGTTGCAGATCATGATTTTGCAGTGAGTCATCTGGTTTCTCAATAATTATGTGCACAACATACTTTGACGTGCATTGAAGTTCTCAATAATTTATTGTTTGCTTTAATCCTAATACATTTCTTATCTGATAACAGAGAGTTTTTCCTCATGCAGGATTATCTATTATGTCCACATACTACATTTCATTATGTGCAAGCTTTACATGGTGCATTGAGTATCTCTGCTAGTCCAAAGGATTATTGTAGTAGTTCAAGCAGCTACAGCAATATCTCTGGTACAGTATCCCAGAATACTAGTGTGCAGAAGAGACTGAGCTGTGAAAGCAGCAGCAACAACAAAAGTAGCACTGCAGTCGTAATGAGTTCTCCTGATTCCTGTATCACTCTCAGCACACAAGTGGAGGGTAATGATTGTGAATTAGATCTCCAGGTAGGAGTATTTATCATGGTTTGCATATACATTTTATCTCATAATATCCCTATGTAGCAACTAAATCTTGCTTCTATATCTACTGGAGGCTCATGGCAATTGATATATTTGTAGTATTATGATATTTATTGGGGAATGATGGGCATGACAATGATAGTAGAGATAACATGCTGGATGCCACAGACCCAAGAATGTTAGTGACTGCGCTTCCATCTAATCCAATAATATATTTATTTGCTGTTTGATGTTCTGAATTAGCTCATGAAGAACACAGCAGATTCCAACAATTCGAATTTCCTATATAAAACTATACCTTCCATAAGAAGTGTGTCATAATTTGCTAAGTTTCGTTTTGATTTTCCATGGTAATTAGGTATTTCCTTTATTGTAACACCCCAGCCTCTGTGTTGTTCCCTCTCTTCCATGGGGTCAGGTTCACATACGGATAGCACTCGAGTACTCGACTTTCTCTTTCGTCCTTGCTTCATGTGATACATTGTTAACCCAGAAGTGCGATTGTTGGAGGCTTGGAGCGCTCTCCGTATGGCACTAATCCCATCATCATGTAGCACATTAGTTTTCACTCTAATCGGCGATGATACTACATGTTAATAAAAACACCCTTCAACTCTTTCTAGAGTAGCAATCATTTTCACTAAGATGCACGCTATGCTGTATATGTATTCTATTGTTCTATTATGTACATGTAAGTGTTTCTATTGACGTTTCAGGGTAATGATGGAGCTAGACGATCAAACTCTTTCCACCACGTGGGCTGTCTACTCCTTGCAGAGCAGAATCTTATATCTGAAGCATTCCTTATTGTGTCATCCTGGTCCAGGTATGTAATTTGTTATTACCTATAATTAATTGTGTGGAGCTACTATGTTGTGCTACCGTAGTAAGCAGTAGTCTTCATGTAGTAGAAATAGTTACATCATATTATTTTCTCTTTTAGGATTCAGCAATACAAGGAAGTTCTTACTTGTATACTCAGTCCTCTTAGCAAAATTTGGACCCAGCCAGACTGGGAAAGTAAATACACACATTATGCATGGTGCCTCACATGTCTATTTTCTAATAGACAGTTTGTGAAGAATGTTCATGATGTGGTGAAGTCATGGGAAGGGCAGCTCAAAAGGAGAGCAGAAGAGTCTCATGCTATCCAAATGCCCGATAAATACTCAGTTAGTCTCTTAGGGTTGATCCTTCCATTGCTCCTAAGGGTATATCTCCACATAAAAGTTCACATTATCATACGATTATATACATAATGATGTTGAATTCTTGCGTTACTTCTAGTTACTTTTGAAACTTTTGAATTATTTGTATATTAGTTGACTTGAAATTGTTGTCTTTCAGTACCTTCAATGCGTACATGCCCTCTGGAATCGAGAGATTACTTTTGATCTATCAAAAAAGCTTGCAAAAGCTAAAAGATTTGGGATCGATGAGGAGGAAGGTTTCCAAGAAATTGAGATGAGACAATGGCTACAGGATATCCGAGAGAGTGGGTATGTACCATGTTTATAATAGCTCAGATACTCATGCAGTTTCTACTTGTTGTGTTTTCCTCTATTACATGTCGTGAGTACAAAAGTTTTGGGCAAGATTTGTATATGTATATTTTGACATAAAGGCATCTGCGCCACTGCCTAATTAAGGCTGAGTTCTTTCCCCAACTTTCTCAACTCACCTCCCTCGTTTTTTCACGCGCACGCTTTTCAAATTGCTAAACGGTGTATTTTTTGCAAAAATTTTCTATACAAAAGTTGTTTTAAAAAATAATATTAATCCTTTTTTTAAAAAAAGTAAATAATTAATTAATCATAAGAAAATACTTAATTAATCATAAGAAAATACGTCACTCCGTTTTATGTGCGCGGGAGGTGAGTTCCCAACCTCACCTCCTGAACACAGCCTAAGTATCAACCAGTTAGTCAATACCCCCATTGAGAAGACATTGCATCTAGTCTATATTTATGATTTATAACTGTTTGCTTATCAGTTCGATCGCCTCGTTCCCCAATCCCACAGCAATAAACTTAGCAGCTTTTTTTATAATCACAATAAGTAGGTTTTAGAACCGTGGGCTGGTGCTGGTGTGGGTTGGTCAGTTGTTCCATGGTCATAAGAACTTAATACGGTTTTCACAGTTGCTGGGTGGGTTTTACAGTTTTGGGCTGGATTGCTCCTGGGGCTTGTTGGTTGGGTGGGGTGCGCATGGAGTAAGCAATCAACTAATATGGACCAAATTACTTATTTCCTCCAAAACATCAATTTTGTTATAGTTTGTCAAGTTTCTTTTATGCTTATTCGTTTTTGGATTCGAATTTATTGTCACCTGTAGTTTTGAATATATTATTTTTGAGCACATTATTTTTATTCTGACCTGTCAAAATCATGAGAAACAGGGTCCAAGGCTCAGCAAATTGGTTGGAGCCTGTCAATTTCTTGTGAAAACCACTAGGTTGACAATTCTAATTTTAGCAATGAATAATTGCTGATTTCTACCAAGTTAGTTCAAATTTTGGCTTGGACTGATTTTTAGGGTGGGCCCACCATTGAAAGGACCAACTTTGTCTGAGTTTATTGAAATCTTTCATGGCTCAGACAGAGTGGAAGTAAATTCTGGAAATTATGATGAAGTTTATAGTAGCTTGAAGACCACCTTACTTTCAGGATTTATTTTTAGTTATAAGAGGCACACATATTTTATACTGTCATTAATCTTTGCATGGGAAATGCTGATTCTCCCCTTCATGTGCACTTGTCCATGAGTGGCAGATGAATTGGAAACGGTTCAAAATCATTTTGACTTCATAAGTTCATATAAAATAACCAATTTGAATGAAGTAGATGGTTTCTAAGTTCATGTTCAAATGCTCGTTCGAAGTAAATAGTTCAAATTTTAGACTGTAAAAGATTTCTGTACGAGGTTCTGGAATCTTTAATTAAGTGGGTCTTGAACATTGATATATTGGAGGCTCTGGGCTGCTTTTTGGTGGCGGGTGGTATGAGAGAAGGGAGTTGGATTACGTGTTTAAACTTCTACTCACTTAAGACTCCCTCAATTTCATTTTTACCTTTGTAAAACCTTGTTTGATTGAGCTGATTTTTACTATGAATTATTGGTATTTTGTGCATTTACTTAGTGTTGTGCAGCTGCTAGTGCACAGTTTACTAGCCTTCCTAGGAGAGTGACATTTCAGATCAATTTTATATTTTTTGACAAAAACATCCTTATAAGCATACTCTTGGTGGTATAAGCGGTTACAGTGAAGTTGAAGACTTCATTTTCATCTAGAGAAATTGCAATTTTTTAATGGTTGTATGGTGCTTCCATTTGTTTCCTTGTGCACATTTTCCTAATCCGTTGTTACCTTGTAGGTACAACGTCATTGGTCTGTATGCATCTCTTGGGGGAATGTTATTTGAATGCACAGACAGCTCATGTTTTTATGCTGCTATCTTGAAAGATCTGGGTTCAATGGAATTTTGACATTTAAGCAAACTTATCCATCTGGTTGTTATTCCTTTGGTAAAAAATTGCCCAGATAAATCCTGGAAGATTTTGATAGTCAACCTGCTGCAACCCTTACTTATGCATTTTGGGAATGTACTTGAACATGCATGGTCCAGTATGTTGCATCATGGCCGAGCCAGAGTTCCATATCACTTTGGTAATCTTCATGGGTCTTTGGAAATAGTTAGGAAATTGGAAGAGACCCTTCTACTTGAATTCACTCGTGAAGTATGTGATCTTCTTGGAGTTTTAGCACTACCAGAACTAAATAAAGGGTTGACCTCATTTCAAAACAGATCTCTTGTTGGGTATCTGATCTTCCCTGTTTTGTTCGTGTCCTTTTCTATTAAGAATCAAAAGAAAGTTTTCATTATCCCGATTGACTTGCAGATATCTTTTACTTAATGATTGTCTTGGGAGGTTAAGGATGAGTCTGTTTGGGTACTTGGTTGATGGTGAAGCAGCCACCAAAGCTATCCCCTTCTGTCGTGCTTTGATCCACCTTGCAGGTGCTGCAAATGATGATAAGCTTAGGGTATTCATTTCGGATGAGCTACTTCCCTGTTTGATACGGCTTATAGATGATCAACTTCCATGTGCAATTAGATGCCTAGTTCACAAGTTAAATTCAAGTGCAAGCAATGATGCTATCAAGGATATTGTCGTCCTTTGTGAAGAAGCATATAACTATTTATCAAGCCATATTTATGCACAAAGCCAGGCAAGGACTTACGATTTATTGTTCTTTGCAATGTTAAACATCATGCTGTTAGTTTTGAGTTCTGTCAAATAGTGATTATGTGTCTATGCCACCCGTTTTGTGTGCGTTGTTTTAAATGTGCAGGATTTAGTGAAGGAACAAAAGGAGATTGAAGATGCTGCAGATAGCTTTACATGTTGGTTGGTAAAGCAAAAGGAAGATCTCCATGCTAAGGCATGTTCTGCTCCTCCAAAGGAATTTTTTGGCCAAACACAACTAGAATGGAATTGGGAGGTATGTTCTCATATTTCCTTGTTTTCGATGATCTCAACTACAATTATAGTCGAATCGTGATTTTTGGGTTTCATCATCTATTAAAACATATTTTTTTGTTTTATGCAGCTTGAAGATGAATTTCGAAGATATCTTCCAGTTTATTTTGATACAATGCAAGAAGTGGATGCAATGGTTGACTGTTTGGAGGTAATTTTTCCGTGAGCAAACATACTACAATGCAAAGAATGCTTATTATATGTTTATTTAAAGAGAACTACGGAATGCTTGAGTGTCCGATAGTTTAGCTAGGTACTAGGTATTAGATAATTTTATCCATTAATGTTTAGGGATTTAATGTGATTGGGAGGTGGGACATGAGCGATAACTGTGGCAACAGATCTGTGCATATACTATGTAGTGAACATCTATTAACATCCTTACAAACTGCAGTAGTTCTAGAAACCAAATATGATATTGACAAAGTTCAAAGATCAATATAGTTGGAATAGCCAGCTACATGTGCTATGATGCATGGACACAGATGCGTATCTCTGAAATATCCTATTGCAAGCTGCCTTCAATCTAGTGTAGCTACTGAATCCAACATGCTGAACTTAGGAAAGAACAAGATGAACAACTCATGAGAGAGGAGGGGCTTGTGTGCAACTTTTCTGAAGTGTCGGTGCATATGTTATTGGAAACTATGTTCATTCATCTTAGTGTCGTGGGCCACTAACTCTACTGGCAGTTGGTAATTTAGAAACTACTATGTGTTTGCCATGCCTAGTTCTTTATGCCCTAGTCTGCTAGCTATTAACTCTCAAAGCTAATAGTGCCTAGAGAAGACAGCCATTAGGAATCTGCAGAACTTAATAGGTCTTTTGTGCTGTGTCTTTCCTGACTCCTGTTTGTTCAGTGGGTCTCAATATTCACATATGCATGATTCAGTGTGCCATTTGTTCTGAAATGTTGTTCACTGGTCCACCAATTTAGTGTGGTAAGGTTGGCGTTTTTGATATCTGTATCTTTTTACAGATGAATCCATGCTTTATTAATGTAATGATTGCATTACAATTATTCCAAATAATTTTCATATGAATGCACAGTACAATGTCTAAGTACTTGTACCATGGAGAGATCAAGGAGGCTTGCTGCTCACACAAATATGCCACCCAATTTTCATTATTCCTGTCAAACTGAATCTAGAACTGTAAACCTCTAGACTAGTGTATCTCTATGAAAGCTTGTAAGTGGCAGCAGATGAGAGTGCTATCATTTATTAAAGATCAGTTTAATTCAGATACAAGAGTCACTAATTTATAAGACCAAATTAGAGTGGTTAGGTTTATGAATTATGAAGTACAGGAAGAAGCTTGTAGCCGTAGGAATTGTCTGTGCATTAACAGCACCCTGTCAATCTGCCACATGCTGAAATACTGACCATTCGTATTGCTTATGAAACAAACCATTGACTTTTAATATACACCTAAGCTTTGTCAATTGAAACATACTGGCTTAAAAGTTAGAATGTGGTTATGTGAAACTTAGGCTTCCTATTACCGATGCAGTGTTGTTTAAAGAAGGGTTAGATAATCGGATGTAAATCCAATATGAAACTATTGGTTCTATCTTATTCAAAATGCCCTCTTCTTTAGTTAAATTGTGATGTAGGCTGTCTTTCATACGTTGACACAAATCTGTTTCGTTAGGTCATTTTGTTTCAATCTCAGTAATATTCTCACAGTAACATGTACAACATTGCTGATTGTCTATCCACATTATAACGTGAATTTGTTTGCACAATGGACTTTCAGCATTTAAGCGAACAAAGTAACTGATTTGATAATCTACACTTGCAGGTTGATTTTTTTGACCTGGAAGTTCTATATAAGAACTTGAGGCCTGAATTTAGATCCAAGTATGCTATTGACAGTAGCAAGCACCCCCATCTAAGGATCATGTCAAATATGCGAGAAGTATGCGCTTGTTATGATTTCTGATAATCAGCTTGTACATATGTTCATATATGCTAATTAATTATTTCTTCTTTTTTTGAAGCGGAAATATTATTCAATGATCAGTGCAAAACATCACAAACAAATATGTGAAATTCTTGGAGAACTCATTACTTTGAAACCATATATCAAGGTATCTCCTTAGTTTGAACTACGTAGTTAAGTTGAAACGTCATGACCTACATTTATTTCATTTGCAGGGCTCTGACCATTATTATGAAATTGTTGAACGTATTGGAGAAAAAATTGAGATACCATCCAGGATCTTTGACCGTGATGATGCGAAAAAGTCCATCCGTGTGAGTATTTGCTATTGATTTAGGAATATTGTATTGAAAGACTCGCATACTTACCCTAATTCTTAACTAAATCTTCTTGCTAGGTCCTCCTTCAAATCTTACATTTCTGGGAACCTCAGTTTCATCCTCTAATACGGGAGGTAATTTCTGGAATTTGTGAGAGCACTTTTCTTCTTTTTTTTCATTGTTTGTATATAATGTTTTCATCATATAGGGTCACAAGGACTTCCTTTTAGACATAGCCAGGCGGTTGGCCAAGGCAAAAGCAACAGAATATTCTGAGGTTTGTTCTTTTTTTCTTTTTCTGCTGTAATCTTAGAATACTACTTAAATATGTTTCCTTTTTCAGCCATTGATACCACAAATGGAGGATTTCTTGCCACATTTACAACCTTATGCATTCGCATTTATTGTGGCTACGCTAAAAGATCCAATGGTATGACATTGAATATTTCATGCCCACGCCTAGGGCTACCACAGTCCCACTACGGCGGAGTAGCGTCGCCGCGCGCCTCCCACACCCACCCACCCACACCCCCCCCCCCCCCGCCCAAAACCTAACCTGCCCCGATCGAGCCCTTCCTTCTCCCAGAGCCGCCGCTCGATCAGCCGCCCCTGGAGGGAGCGCCCATGGACGCCGCCACAACGTCCGTCCGCGCCGTCGACTGCAATCCCGTGCCGGTGAGGGATTTCTCTGTACTGCCTGATCGGTGGCGGTGCCCCGGTCATCGTGATGGTTCGGGGCTACGCAAATTTTATCTCGCTTTGGCGGGGCTCTGTCCGATGAGTTGTGCAACAGAATTTGATCATTTTTTTTATTTCTTTTTGCTTGCTTGATTTGACGCTGCAGGTGAGGGATGAAGGGTATGTCGATGCGTTGGTGAGGGCGTCGCTTCATTTTATCAGGAAGGATTTCCCTCATGAGGTCCGGGGACATGGCGTCAGATTGCTACAGGTCGTTTAATTTAATTCCTGCTGTGCTGACATTATGTGCTTTGTCGTGGACTTGATCGGAGGATAACCTTTTCGTTGTGTGCTTCCATTTATCTGCAATTTTTGCCCATCCTATTGCGTCTAAAATATTGGGTTGCACGGTTTAGTGGGAAGGGGAAGTGGATGAAGTTCTCAATATTTGCCTAATGATCAAATACTTTAGTGAATTGCAACTAAATGGCAGCATATAGCAGATGATATTCTCCACAATGACATTGCAGATAGAAATTTAAAAGGAGTTGGGTATATATGTTTCGTATCAAATTTAGGAAGAATAATCGTGTGATGAATCTTGGATCTGATTCATTGGATTTTACTACCAACATGTCCTTTGAATCAGTTTTATGATTCATTGTATTATGCTATCATCATAATTATATCATTCACCAGCCACCTTTTGATTTGTCTTATCACATAAGGTACTAACTGTGACAAGTTCTGATTTGCATCGCATAAATTCATTTTGGTTTTTGATACTTGATGATCGGCATGAAGGAAAACCTAGTCAAATCTGTCAAACTAAACAGACCAGTTATTTCTCTATATTGTTTCTATAAACTTTACCACAATTTAATTGTTTTTCCCTTTGGTCATTTCTTACTTTGAACTCCCATGATGATTAGTAGTAAACCCCCCTTCAACTATGTCTGAGAGAGCTAGTTCCTGCAACTGTTCCTGGTGATGCCAGGATGACCACCGAGCAGGTCTCAACTGATGTTAGTCTTCACCTCGTGGAGCACTCTAATGGTAGAAGTGAACATGGGATTTGTTAGTCTTCACCTCATGGAGCACTCTAACGGTAGAAGTGAACATGGGATTTGCAGTTTCTGGAGAGAATTAATGTTGTGGCAGGTGGATGGGAGATTCAGAGCGGCGGACAACTCCGGGAATAGACAGGAAGGAAGGGTAGCTGGATGGGTTGCTAGTTGTGAGCTTGTGTGTGCGGTGTGGAAGACAATGTGAGCAGTGTTATGGTCATACATAATGGGAGAAGACGAAAATGTCAAATAACTTAACTTTGTAAACTGTCAATTGCATTAAAATGTACCAGTTACTTTTGGTGGTATAAATCTAACTCTAGATCTTTCAGTGGCACAAAACCAATTTTGCCTTTCAGTTACTTTCAAGTTTGGATGTGTCCTGAAAATTTGTACTACAACATAGGATTTTACTAATCATGTACGTATTTTAGTCTAATTCTTGCCATTCTGTTTGACATATGCTCCAGAAATGCTTCAAGTGATAACCATTATCGTCCTTTAATTATGTGTCATGCAGGGAAGAAATGTTAAGGTTGATGTCTAGAATTGCACTAACAAGTTTGCTAAATTTTGGTTATATCTAGTTGGCTGCCCCCATGTTTCCGAAAGAATAGTTGGAGAGACCTTGGAAAGGGATTCTGATGAAATTCCAAATCTAGTAAAAATAGTTGCCAAATTTTTTTATCCACTTCCATGGGCCTCAGAACAAAATCCCCCTAGGCACTTAAGTAATGCTACACCTACGTTGGATGTGATGTGAGCTGCAGCAGCCAATTCCATCTATAGGGTTGTGCCAACTCTTAATGGATCTGACTGGGGGAACAATGGTCAGATGATGGTTATTGTGGACCGATTAATTTATTGATCTCATACCTTTCATTATTTTGTTGCTATCTAATTCTCGCCATTTCGGAATTACTCTATTCAAGACTCACACTTGCAGTATTTACTATAATGAAGAATTATGAGCACAACCTTTCACATCCTGTTTTCCTTTATATTAGATGCAGATAAGGCATCCGTAGTTGGGATTTCGTCCATGAGTTCTTATGTCAGGCCTGCAGTTGTTTCCAATGTTTATGCTATAGAACTGTGTATTCATCACCTTCTGTATTGTTATTTTGCAGCATTTGATGAGATTCAGGTGGGAGGAAGTTAGCATCATAAATTGAAGCAAATTTGCTCATGTTTTTAGTTTATTAGGAGTTGAGTTGGGAGTTCCCGATGATCTGGTTTGGAAGAATGCAGCAGCTGATTTAGTTGCAGAGGTTATGATTTAATCTTATTTTATTGTTTGCGTTGGTACCGATTCATTTCTTATGTATTATGTTGAAAATTCATACTATTTCTCAATAACAATTTAATGTAGCAGGTGGTTTGGAGCCATGGAATTTCTCTCTTGCATGACCTAATCCCATGCCTTGTGTGTCTATCAGCAAAGGGTGCTACTGAGGTAAGTTTGTCTATTTTAACCACCACTTTGACCTATTTGTACTGACATTTGTGTGACTAATATTATTTTGTTTTGTCGTGTGAATTGTTAGACCGAATTAGTTTGCTTTATTCTGAAGTCAATTTCTGATAATCGAATTGCTCATGTTTCACATTCTGGAGGTAAGAATCATAATTCTTTTATGGGTAGTAGTTCAACTAACAGGTAAATTGACACCGTTGGTTTTAATCGGTGATAAAGGCGAACCGCTTTCCTTATCTGAGTTCCTTCAGCAGATTTTGCCATTCATTTCCTCTGTGAGTTTTTTCTTGGCTATTCATCAGTAGTCTTGGTGGTTTACTGTTTTATGGAAACATGGATTTGATTTTTACTGCACTCCGTTAATTGTCCAATTGTAGTTGCTTGAGAAACACGTTGGAGCTGCTTTGGGTGAGAAAAGCGTCAGGTGGAAGTAGCTGAGGAACATGCATCTGTAGTAAAAGCTGTCCTAGATGCAGCCAATGCATATGCAAGGTGGGCTCATGTTATTGATCTGGGGATGCATGGTCTAATTAAGGGGTATGCTATCAACAAAGTTGAAACAGGGTGTTACATAGTCAATATTCAATGCTAACTATTGTTTTGCTTTATTTTGCAGATGTGGATGCCTACTTTCTTGCAATGATTTCTGTGTACACGCATCGCAGTTTTTCAAACATATATTGCAGAGGTACAGTACATATGTTCATTTTGTCTCCACTTCTGCCTTTTTCTCACTAGCTTGTGCCTGTTCATGTTTCTCCAGGAAAAGACCTGTTGCTATTGCCGTTGCAGATCATGATTTTGCAGTGAGTCATTTAAATATTAGTACTAAACATTCACAAGATACTTTGAAGTGCATTGAAGTTCTCAATTTTTTATTGTTTAATCCTCTAATGTGATAACAGAGTTTTTCCTCATGCAGGATTATCTATTCTGTCCACATACCACATTTCATTATGTGCCAGCTTTACAGGGTGCATTGAGTATCTCTGCGAATCCAAAGGATACAAGTAGTAGTAGTTCCAGCCGCTACAGCAATAGCTCTGGTACAATATTCCAGAAAACTAGTGTGCAGAAGAGACTGAGCAGTGGAAGCAGCAGCAGCAGCAAAAACAAACGTAGCACTGCAGTCGTAATGAGTTCTCCTGATTGTGAATTAGATCTCCTGGTAGGAATATTTATCATGGTTTGCATATATATTTTTATCTCATATTATCCCTATCTTGCAACTAAATCTTCATTCTATATCTACTGGAGGTTCATGGCAATTGACATGTTTGATACTGATGAGTATTATGATAGTTATTGGGGAATGATGGGCATGACAATGATAGTAGAGATAACATGCTGGATGCCGCAGACCCAAGAATGGTAGTAACTGCGTTGCCATCTAATCCAATAATATATTTATTTGCTGTTTGGTGTTCTAAATCAGCTCATGAAGAACACAGCAGATTCTAACAGTTCGAATTTCCCATATAAAACTATACCTTCCATAAGAAGTGTCACAATTTGCTAAGTTTCGTTTTGATTTTCCATGGTAATTAGGTATTTCATTTATTGTAACACCCCAGCCTCTGTATTGTTCCCTGTCTCTTCCATGGGGTCAGGTTCACATGCGGATAGCACTCGAGTACTCGACTTTCTCTTTTGTCCTTTCTTCATGTGAAAAAAGTTGTTAACCCAGAAGTGCTATTGTTGGAGGCTTGCAGCACTCTCCGTATGGCACTAATCCCATCATGTAGCACATAAGTTTTCACTCTAATGGGCGATGATACTACATGTTAATGAAAGTGTTTACCCTTCAACTCTTTCTAGAGTAGCAATCATTTTCACTAGGTATTAGATGCACATGCTTTTAAAGATGCACACTACTATGTTGTATATGTATTCTATTGTTCTATTATGTTTCAGGGTAATGATGGAGCTAGACGAGCAAACTCTTTCCACCACTTGGGCTGTCTACTCCTTGCTGAGCATAATATTATATCTGAAGCATTCCTTACTGCGTCATCCTGGTCTAGATGTGTCATCATGTAATTTGTTATTATCTAACATTAATTGGGTGGAGCTACTATGTGCAACCGTAGTAGGCTTCATGTAGTAGAAATAATTACTTGCATCATATTCTTTTCTCTTTTAGGATTCAGCGATACAAGGAAGTTCTTGTATACTCAGTCCTCTTAGCAAAATTTGAACCCAGCCAGAGTGGGAAAGCAAATACACACATTATGCATGGTGCCTCACACGTCTATTTTCTAATAGACAGTTTGTGAAGAATGTTCATGATGTGGCGAAGACATGGGAAGGGCAGCTCAAAAGGAGAGCAGAAGAGTCTCATGCAATCCAAATGCCTGATAAATACTCAGGTAGTCTCTTAGGGTTGATCCTTCCATTGCTCCTAAGGGTATATCTCCACATAAAAGTTCACATTATCATAAGATTATATACATAATGATGTTGAATTCTTGCTTTATTTCTAGTTACTTTTGAATCTTGTGAATTATTTGTATATCTGTTGACTTGAAATTATTGTCTTTCAGTTCCTTCAATGTGTACATGCCCTCTGGAATCGAGATATTACTTATGATCTATCAAAAAAGTTTGCAAAAGCTAAAAGACTTGGGATCGATGAGGAGGAAGGTTTCCAAGAAATTGAGATGAGACAATGGCTACAGGATATCCGAGAGATTGGGTATGTACCATGCTTGCTCAGATACTCATGCAGATTCTACTTGCTGTGTTTTCCTCTATTATATGTATTTCATGGGTACAAGAGTTTTTGACTTTTTATTTTGTCCTGTGACAAATGATATTTTTCTTCAGAAAATGTATTAAATTGCAGCAGGCGCACAAGGGCAAGATTTGTACATGGAATTGGGAGGTATGTTCTCATATTTCCTTGTTTTCGATGATCTCAACTACAATTTAGTGGAACCATGATTTTTGGATTTTATCATCTATTAAAACATATTTTTTGTTTTATGCAGTTTGAAGATGAATTTGAAGATATCTTCCAGTTTATTTTGAGATGATGCAAGAAGTGGATACAATGGTTGGGTGTTTTGAGGTAATTTTTCCGTGAGCAACAATAGTGCAATGCAAAGAATGCTTATTATACGTTTATTTAAAGAGTACTACAGAATGCTTGAGTGTTCAATAGTTTAGCTAGGTATTAGATAGTTTTATCCATTAGTGTTTAGGGCTTTAATGTGATTGGGAGGTGGGACATGGGCGATAACTGTGGCAACAGATCTGTGCATCTACTATGTAGTGAGCATCTATTAACATCCTTACGAACTGCAGTAGTTCTAGAAACCAAATATGATATTGACAAGGTTCGAGACCTGCTCCCATATCTTCTATGGTTACCCCTACACTCGGGAGGTCTGGGGGCTGGTCAGGGGTCGTGTCGGCCTTCTTTACGCAGCACCGGATGATGTCTTCTCATCCTGGTGGTGTAAAGTGCGAAAGGCAATCGCCAAAAAGGATAGGAGATCTTTCGATGCGGGCGACATTTTGGTGACCTGGCTGATTTGGAAGGAGCGCAATGCGCGTGTATTTGAGGGTCGAGCCTGTTCGCCTGTCAACCTTTCTGCAGCCATAGAAGATGAATGGAGAACTTGGATTGCAGCGGGCTTGATTGTAGCTTCGTAAGCGGCAGAGGCGGCCGTGTGCTGTAGCCTTTTCTCTTTTCTGTCTTCTCGCCCTCAGATTGCCGGCCCGGCAAAAAAATATTGACAAGGTTAAAAAATCAATATAGTTGGAATAGCCAGCTCCATGTGCTATGATGCATGGACACAGATGCGTATCTCTGAAATATTCTATTGCATGCTGCCTTCAATCTAGTGTAGCTACTGAATCCAACATGCTGAACTTAGGAAAGAACAAGATATCAGAACAACTCATGAGAGAGGGGCTTGTGTGCAACTTTTCTGCAGTGTCAGTGCATGTGTTATTGGAAACTATGTTCATTCATCTTAGTGCCGTGGGCCACTAACTCTACTGGCAGTTGGTAAATCAGAAACTACTCTGTGTTCTCCATGCCTAGTTATTTATGCTCTAGTCTGCTAGCTATTAACTCTCAAAGCTAATAGTGCCTAGAGAAGACAGCCATTAGGAGTCTGCAGAACTATTCAGTAGGGATTAGGTCTTTTGTGCTGTCTTTCCTGACTCCTGTTTGTTCAGTGGGTCTCAATATTCACATATGCATGATTCAGTATGTCATTTGTTCTGAAATGTTGTTTACTGGACCACCAATTTAGTGTGGTAAGGTTGGCGTTTTAGATATGTGAAAACTTAGGCTTCCTATTACCGATGCAGAGTTGTTTAAAGAAGGGTTAGATAATCGTATGTAAATCCAATATGAAACTATTGGTTCTATCTTATTCAAAATGCCCTGTTTTTTAGTTAAATTGTGATGTAGGCTGTCTTTCATATGTTGACACAAATCTGTTTTGTTAGGACATTTTGTTTCAAGCTCAGTAATATTCTCACAGTAACATGGACAACAATGGTGATTTTCCATCCACATTATAACGTGAATTTGTTTGCACAATGGACTTTCAGGATTTAAGTGAACAAAGTAACCGATTTGATAATCTATACTTGCAGGTTGATTTTTTTGGACCGGGAAGTTCTATATAAGAAATTGAGGCCTGAATTTAGATCCATGTATGCCATTGACAGTAGCAAGTACCCTCATCTAAGGATCATCTCAAATATGTGAGAAGTATGCACTTGCTATGATTTCTAATAATCAGCTTGTAGGGTTCCCCGTAAGGAAAAAAGAGTACAACAACTATTTTACATTTTAGCATCAATTACTTCGGATCGACTATTTTACCCCTATTTTGATCTTCAATTTTGATTTTGCCCCTGTATTTTTTTAGGTTTTCTTTTTTGCCTCTACTTTTTTGAAATGAAAGCCAACTTTGCCCCTACTTTTTTTTAGAATTACATAGTACAACGTAGACACTTACAATGCACGCGCACTCACCCATATGAACGCACACACATAAACCCTATCCCTATGAGCATCTTCGAAGACTGGACTGTCAAATCCTTGAGATTGACGAAGTCATCACAGACGTCTCGCTGTCGACGGGTACGTTGACTACCACTAAAAGCACAACGACGTTAAATCCTGGAAAATCCGCTCCCATGAGGAGTCGAACCCATGGATGGACACGTTGACGGAGTTAAATCTTTGGTGAAAAGACGATTATGCTCTTATTTGATATTGCATATTTGTCTCAATGTTTATTCAATAATATCTGCCCCCATTTTACATGAAACTTGCATTTTGGACAAACTTTTACAAATTTGACAATTTTGATAGAATATTAAAAATGAATTGGAATAATTTTGCCACAAATTTTTTGAAAAAAAAAGGACAGAATTTGGGCACAATTTTGACATGTTTTTACATAGCTAACAAAAGGCATGTAGCAATCACAAAATCAAGCAAATCCAAATCCAAATCGCCTGCTCTCTGCATCAAGCCGTCGCCGCCTCCCGCATGAAGCCGCCGATGCCTAATTAAGTCGAGACGCCGCCGTCGCTTGCTCCTCGCGTCAAGCCGCTACCGTCTGGACAAGAGCCTACCGTCGTCTCGTCCCCTCGTCGAGCCGCTGTCGCTTGGCTTGCGTCGACACGCGCAGCCTTCTGCTTGTCACCATTGTTTGGTTATCGGCTCACCAGGGGTATAAAGGTCCATCAACGAATTAAAAAACCATTATTACTTCTTTATTTCTCTACTTCTTTAGCTCCATAATCCCATGTCGACTAATTACGTCTATTCCATTAAAAAAGGAAAAAAAATTAAAAACCCTAATTTTTAGGGTAAAATTAATATTGGACATCAAATAGGGATAAGAACGAAATTTTCCCATATATAAAATACGTTTTTCAAAAGTAGTAAAATGTGGCAAAAAAAAATCCAGCCGTCTATTGGGACACCTCCTAAAGCTAGGAGGAGGGGCCCCACGGTGCAGTTTCTCAGGTGACCGCGAACGACGCGAAAGCGCAGGCCAAATTAGGGATGGCAATTTAACCCGTTTGCATGTTTACCCGTGGGTAAAAGCCCTAATAGTGTTGGATTTGTTCTCTATGTACCAATAGGCATACGGGCACGGGCATGGGTAGTCACTACCTACCCATGCCCGTTTCACCCGTTTACCCGAAAAAACCAACTAACATGTGATCCCTCGGTCAAATTAGTATAGATGCCACCATCTAGTATTGATGAACTTATGTTTGTGGCAATATTCTTTCTCTTTTTGGACTCAACCGCAAAGGATTCATCTAAACTAATTAGCAAAGTCTTGCTTTGATTTTCTGGGGTACTTTTCAAGTGTACCAATAAATTGTTTGTTAGTAAGGAATCAAATGCTGGAGAATTCATTTCTAATAGATACTCAAATGAAAAATTTCGATACCAAAGTCCCTGTTACTTCTCTCATTGAATCTTTAGCAAAAGCTCAATTTTGTTCTGCAATGCTTGTATTGTTAAATTTGGTACAACTATACCTTTTCTTTAAACTATGATAATGTCTCTCTGCTTGTGGAGATTTGTGATTAAAGAAAGTGTTGAACTGTGAGTATGTGGCGGGTAAACGGGCATGTCCGCGGGCACATAGCGCCGGCGTGCAATGGACGTGGGTAGTGTTTCTTACCCGTTATGTAGTAACGGGCATGAATTATCTCGCGGGTACGGCGTCATGCCCGACTGCCATCAACCGGGTTCCGGATCCGGTGCGATCGCGCCCCGTCGGAGTCGGGAGCGGGAGCGGGTCGGCCTCCGCCTCCGATAAGTGCACGCATCTCTGCGCAGCGCGAGGCCGCCATTCTGTTTTTCGCCTCGGGGAGCTAAGCCGCCGCCAACCCGCTACAAAACCCTCGCCCTCATCGTCGTCGCCTCCGGCGGCGGCCGCGGCCCCACGCACCGCCCGCTACCCCACCGTGCGCGCCGCGCTTGGCCAGCCCGGCCGCGGCCCCCCTCACCGTCACCGACCAGGTAGGGAGGGCTGGAGCGCAGCCATTCCGGAGAGTCGTCGCCTCCTCGCACCGAGCGAGCAGGAAGGTAGCGGGGGCGCCGTGCGCGGCGACCAGGCAGGGACGGACGCGGGCATCCATCGCCTCGTCGGGCCCCTCCACTCCCTCCCCACCTCGCGCCGCCGGTTGACGCGGCGCAGCCGGAGCCCCCCCAGAGCGCGCGCTGCATCACCTTCGCCGGCGTTCGTTTCGCCCGTACCTGCGGAGGCGGGTCGCCGACACCGAGCGCCTCCGTCGACGCGACGCCGCGGCCTGTCTGCGACTCCTCCTCCTTTTGCCCCAAGGTACAAAATAGCAAACATATGCTCAGCATTTCACCTTCATATGCTTCTATTTTTGGGAATCCTTTTGATTTCTTTAAGATAAACCAAGTTTTATCCATGTTAAACAGTTACATCAAGATAATACAATTACTATGGAGGCAATTACGCTTTTGACTCTGTTATAAAGTCTAAGCCAATCTAACCTTGTTTTCTCAACTTTGCTCATTTCACCCTATGGACATGACCTTATTATGTGAGACAAACGTAATGGTGTTAACTTGGGGCCATAATGCATGCCATTACCTTATTCTCTCGGAATTTGGCACGTCGTATTGGAGAGGCATACTTGCTGTGCGCTGTGTGTCGAGACTTGAGAGTGATAGCTGCACATTGCATTAGCCAAGAGGCTCGGCGGCCTTCACACCAAAGAGACTAGGTCTGGTCATCCTCAACGGTTTGACGGTAGGGGTGAGCATCCTCGGGTGTTGGGCGTCGAAACGGGCGTAGGGGATCTCTGTGGTGGCAATGGGCTGTGGGCGTAAGCATCGATCAGGTGCTCCAAACACTAGACCCTCTTGTGGAAGCCGGGACATAATTGGGGAACGATGCAAATTCTTTATGTTTTGTGTGATGAAGAGCGCTTGCCTTACTGCCGACAACCTTCAACGCAGGGGCTGGCATCTTGCCCCAATTTGCCACCTCTGCTCAAACGGCGGCGAGTCATGCCACCACATCTTTAGTAGCTGCTCCTTCACTCAGGAGGTCTGGGGCCTTGTCAGAGGTCGCCTTGGTCACCTTCAAACAACACCGTCTGTTGATCTCTCCTGGTGGTGTGATGCTCGTAAGTTTATTGCTAAGAAGGAGAGAAAGGTATTTGATGCGGGTGTTATTTTGGTGACTTGGTTAATTTGGAAAGAACGCAATGCGCGTGTGTATGAAGGGAAAACAAGCTCCCCTGTTAATCTATGTGCGACCATCATGGATGAATGGGAGACCTGGACAGCTGCGGGGTTGATTCCAGCTGGCTGATCTGTGGTTGGGGCGGCCCTGTTTGAGGAGGGGTTTTTAGTAGCTTTTCTTTGCCTTGCCCTTTTCTCTTTTCTGCTCCCTGAGTTCTGTTCCTGGGGTGATAGGATAATTTACATTCTCGCATTCTTTCTTAATATACTCTGGCCGGCAAAGTTTTGCCGGCCCGGCGAAAAAATAATTGGGGCAACATGTTGCACCACGCATGATAGTCGCTCGGGAGAATTATAGGATCTCTAGGAGAAAACTACTTTTAATCATGAACATTGGCTTGCGCTACTCCGACGGTTTGGAAACATCTAGATGCACTTCCACTGTGTAACTGTAGTTCTGATACCTTATATTAGTACAGATGAATAGAGTCCCTAAAATCAAGCCTAAAGAAGCTGATTATCACGTTCAACAATTGTAGCATATATGTTGGCATTAAATAAAGGTACATAAACCTGGCCACACCCAAACTAGTCCACTATTGTCTGTTCATTTATAGTTTGCTTTAGAACAGCCCATTTTACTCAAATGCTCGCTATTCTTATTGCAGGATACAACATGGACACGATGTCAGATAATACAAGCCACAACATTTTGTCCCAGGTAAAATTTTGTCTCAAATCTCACTCATCCATTGATCAATGGTAAAGCTAGACATACAAGCATTTTATAGATGGCAAGTTAACTAAAGTGATGTTAAAGGTAGAATATTCCATTGAAATTTAATATTTTCTTGGCACATTCCAATACGCAAATATATTCACTCAATTGTCCATAAACTGCACATATATACTCAATTGCATGTTTCTTTGTTGTGCTGTTCGTGTAGACATAAGGTTCAAAAAACTACATGGTTCAATAGGAACTTTGACAGTGCAAATCAACTGAAATATATTATATGTACTCTCCTATGTGTTTCCAATGAAATATGAAATTTTGTCAAAACTGTTTGAGTATATATTGATCAATCTATATGAAATTCTCCTAAAACACATATATGATTGTTTTGTAGCTTTTTCATGTCATTGTGCTGCTTTCTTTTACTTCTAACCACTTCCTTGATCTATCGGGTTACCATCTTCTTAGGTCAATGGAAGTTCTCAAATAGTCATAACAGACAGCAAGGTCCAAAAACTTGGGAGTTCAGCAAACTATGTGAAATATTATAAGGGTACTGTTAAGTTTGGTAAAGGACTTAGAATACAAACCAAAGCATCTGTGCTTGCATTTACCTCATGTGATGGAGAAGCTGCAGATGCCTTGTATGTGCGACTTGTTGCAGTTAATAGCCCATTCACAGTCAAACCATTGTCATATGGCAGAGGTATTCGAAGGTACAGGGAATACACCTTCTTAGCTGTTCCACCGCCAAGTTGTTTGCTGTCTAACTACACTGATGGATTCAATGATAAAACTGTCAGTATGAAGAGATTCACTGAAGAATTCATCAAGATAACTGGGTATGTCGTTAATGTTTTGGCTTATCTGACTGAATTTATTTATGCTTGTTGATGCATTTACTAATTGTTTTGTGTTTGGTTAGGGATATTGTTCGAGCAATTATCACCCTTCATTGCCAAGGTTACTGGTGTTCTGGTTTGAAAGGGAAACACATATGCATCTACAAAATGGAGAAGTGTACTGATGCAAAGATTTGGAGTTTTTGCTTTGCAGGTATGAATTTGGCAAAAAAAAAGAAGTGTTTCGACTTATATAGTCAGTATAAATTGCTATGTTCATAGAAAGCCTCTAATAATTTTATAATTACTGGAGAAAATGCATGATTAATTGTGTCAACCTAGAGTTGATATTTCAACCTTGAACTATTGCCTCAATCTTAAAACTTATCATCTCTAAATTCTATAACCATAATTCATGCCTTTATCCAATATGAAGGGGTTTTAAGGTTTAATGGTATCCTAGTTATCGTGAAGTTTATATACAAGTTGACCTTTTAGTTATATATCAGTTGTAAACCAATGAAATTATAGAAATCACTCTATAGGTTACGTGCAGAAGTTGTGAAGAATTCTCTCATAATTAAAATATATAGGTGAGGTACTACTATTATACATCCTAATGACCATGTAAAATACGTATGAAACTTACAAACTACAAAGTAATGTTGACATAGTGCAAATTCATTGTTTCTGATTTCATACTTTTTATGAACGAAATCAAATTGATTCTTAAATTTTATATGGTTGTAAAATACTACCCTGCCCTACATATCCCTCACATTTACCTTCTGTCAAATATTTGCTAACCCGTTATACATACAGGGGGAAATGAGGCAAAAAAGTCTGAAGATTGGGTAGACCTTGGCAAATTGCTTGAGCTTGCAGCGAAAAGAAATGATTCGTACACTGCTGAGATTGAAGATCTGTGTAAGAAGTTAAAGAACAAAACTCTGAGAGGGTATGGTCTTTCCCCTTATTCCTTGGGCATTTTTTGAAAACTACAACAATAGTTCAAGATTTTAACCAAAATCTGCAACTTTGTTTTTGATAGCTCTACGCCCACCTGTCAATTAAACACATACACAATACTTACATTGTTGCAAGTTAGGTCCTCTTATCAGGTGTTAAAGCATGGTTTTTCCTTGGGCGTGATGCGTGGGGTGACCACCTAAGGGTCCTGAAAATTTATGCCCCCCCCCCCTAATCACTGTGTATACTACATGTATGTATAAGTTTTAAAATGGACATGTTTTATCAACTCATCTATTTAGTGCTTGACATTTTTCCTTTAAAATGAATGTATCTGCAGTAATGGAGGTGAGCCTAAATTTATAGCTATGGATCTATTTGAAACCCCTTGATATGGACATCATTGCATAGCGAGCTTTCCAAAATCTGTTCCTTTTAGCTTGACTCGTTCTTAGATATTACTTCCATGTTATATCTATGGTAAACAAGGAAATAAGAGATTTCTTATAACTTGTTACAAGTTTTATAATTTTCATTTAGTTAAATATTTTACAGAAGGTTGAGTGAAGGAGATTGGCCTTTAAATTTTAGTTGGATAAAGAAAATTCTTTTCATAAGATCGCCTTAATAGAATATTATATTTAAAAAATAAATTTCATAAAACCCCATCTATGGTTAACGGTGTGGTTTTGTAAAACTTTAGGACCATAATACCCGGGGTTATTGTGCACAACTTGGACCATAATAGGTGTGGTTTTATGAAATTTACTCTATTTTAAAACTACATAGCACCAAATTAGATGTAATTCATATTTTATTGAAAAAATGCCACAACTATCTCATCCCAGGACCTCCAAATAGCAGGACCATCTGTTTTCTTAAAAAATCATTTGCTATTGTTGCATTTTTGTGAAATGTTACAAAGTGATAGTTTTGATAATTAGTTGCAGTTTTGTGAAATTTACTCACATATAAATTCTTTAGATGTAATATTGTTTAATGTTTTTATATTTCAGGATGAAAGTTCTTAAACACAGTGCATTGTTGAATGTACGAGAAAAATTTGAGAACATAATTGCCCTCAATTTATTCATCTTGGTACATGTAAAAAGTCAACCACAGGTTCCATCTGGAGATCCTGAAAAGGACAAGATCATTAGCGAACTGGTGAAATTCATGAATGCTAGTTTACAATGGGCGAAGGCTATGCCTCACTGGATAACTCAAAGTTCTAATTATCAAGCACCAACCACAGAAACTGGTTTATCTTTCATTGATGGACTAAGAGACCTATTTGAGCATGAAAACGAGTATATTCCAGAAAAGGTACGTGTTTATAAATACCACAACCGTAACTTTCAATTAGGTATAATTATTATTTATATTTTAATCACAGGTTAAACAATCCCAATCGAAAATCCAATTAGTTGGTCGGGATCCAGATCTGGAATGTCAGCTTCGTTTAAATTTGGAAAAGATTTTTCTCCAAGCTCAAAATTTTGTTCTTGAACTGGATATTGAATATTGAGAGGTCAGCTTAATTCATCTCTAAATGTTTTTCTAGCATTGCTGTATATAAGAGAACTCTTGTGCATATATAAATATATTACAATGAGAATGAAAAATAACTTTTGCAATAAGATTTTTTTGTGTCTGAATACTGGTTTTTTTATTCCTCTAACACATTTTTTTAGAGTTTCTTATCAAGTTGACTGATAAATTTCTTGTTTGTAAAGTTGATGGGCTTAAATTTCAGCTGTGTTGTAAGGCTATTAGTCCTTAGTTTCATTTCTTTTGTTGGGATCTTTCCACTGAAGTTTTTCTACTAATTGCTATATATCTGTTTATTTTCTATTGACTACTAGCTACTACTAGTTTCTATTCCTTTTATACCAATTGTTATCTGTTTATTTTCTATTAGTAACTAGTTTCTGGGATTAGTGTAGCGCATTGCAGTGCAAGGAGGCTAAGCAGTCACGGTTATGGCGAGCTTGATGTTTTGGCTAGGGACTAATGCAAAAGAAGTGTCCAAGCAAAGGTATCATGATCGTGGCTTTCATTGAGAGCTGAGCTTGCGGCGAGGCATACTTGCTCATCTGTAATGAGCCATAAGATACAAATTTGTTTCATGCTGTCTGGACCTTATTCAGAAATTTGTTAATCTATTACTCCCTCCGTCCCAAAAAAAGACAAACCCTAGGTTTCTGTGTCCAACGTTTGATTGTCCGTCTTATATGAATTTTTTTTTATAATTACTATTTTCATTGTTGTTAGATGATAAAACATGATTAATACTTTATGCGTGACTTGTCTTTTTAATTTTTTCAAATAAGACGGACGGTTAAACGTTGGATACGAAAACCCAGGGTTTGTCTTTTTTTTTTTTGGACGGAGGGAGTACTTTCTTGAAGGATATTATCTAATTCATCTGATCATCACAAGCTTTCTAGCCATTTTCCTTTCCTTCAATGACAAAAGTACTGACTGTCCCTTGCATTAAAGAAAACAAATAGCTCGATGAAATATGTTGAGAACACCCTTTCCATTTGTTCTTTGTATCGGCTCCTAGAGGTAGCTCGTGGGATTTACCAATACAAATACTGTGTAACATGACCCAAGCTAATTATGAATGTGACATAATTATTGTCAAAGCCTATACTATGTAACCAACTGTAAACATTCATTACTCATTTGAGAACTTTTGCTATTCTACAATCCATCTAACATCAATAGTAACTGGCAAAATGTCCGTGAGTTACGACGTTTGGCAATTTTCATGTGTAATTAATTAAAAAATATCTGTGAAAAAAAATCACTGTAGGATTTTTAGTATGAACAACTCAATTGAATCGGGGAGAAATGCATTTGAAGTTGGGTTGAAGATGACCGGGATTTGGGTGTAGATGTGCACCCACACTCCCATCCAATACATCTTTCACTCGGTAACGGCTAAAATTAAACTTATCTTTGGTGGCATAAACTCTTCACTCTGTTTTTTTTAATAGATGAATGGATGACGGCATTAACTTTTAAACACACATTTGTTTATTTGCCTTGTTTAAAAAAATATAAATACATAAAATATAAATCATCATGGAAAAAATAGTAAATGCATAAAATATAAAATCATCATGCTTAAAGTACTTTTAGTGATAAAATAACTTGTAACAAAATAAATGATAATTACATCAATTTTTTAAATAAGATGAACAAACATGTGTTTAAAAGTTAACAACATCGATTATTAAAAAAATTTAAATAAAATGAACAAACATGTGTTTAAAAGTTAACAACATTGTTTATTAAAAAAACGAAGGCAGTGTTATAGAAATAGCAAAATACCCACACATTTATTTTTTTTATTTTTTTGAACTTTTCAAAATTTTATGTAATTTTAAAAACAAACATTTCCAAAAATTATTTCTAAGATATGAACGTTTTGACCATGCCAGCCTAGCTGGCGTGACATAATAACATTGCCACATCGGTCTAAATTATGTGGCAACATTATTGGCCAAAAAGAATAATGCCTGCTGCGGACGTTGAAGCTGTGTGGCGGACCAGTGTCGATGGCGCGGGGCGGACAGACGTCGACGGCGTGGCGTTGCCCGGCGACGGTGGTGGACGGACGAGGGGAATCAGGATAGAGAGGGGATAGAACCTAATTTAGTGTTCTGGAGACAGGGGTAAATTCGTTATTTCACGTGCCCATTCCTCACGTGCCCATTCCACGTTGGCAAGCCCATGTGGCAGTGTACAGTGTGAAAAGTGGCAAAAAAGTAGAAAAGTTTCTCTATCCAATGGCATATTATTAACTAAAAATTTAAGAGGGGTATTTGAGCAATTGACAAATGTAAAAGTGGCAAATAGTTAAAATCCCCAATAACGTGTGAAGGCAATTAACGTGTATTCCAATTAAAAAAAGTTGAACCACCTATATTGACCAATGTAGCATAATGGGCTAGGGTTAAGTTTCTCTTTTCACTTAACACCACCTAATTTTACCATCTTTTTCATGTTGGACCAGGTTTACGTGTTGGACCAGGTTTACGGCATAGGCTACGCTTTGGCCTAATCCACGCGAGCAGCTGGTGTTTAATTTGCTCATGGTGGCGGTGGTACGCGATACCAGGAGCGTGTGCGACGCGTCGATGGGGTGGTCATCAGCGAGGGCGAGCATTTCGTCGTCCAGTGGACGTGGACCCTGTAGTGATCACGCGACACATCTGATTACGTTGACAGGATCTGAGACTATACCAGAAGTCCAGAACTATCCCATTCAGATCATGCATATGAAGAAAAAAAAGCCAACTATTCCATTTAGCAGTAATCAAGATCGATCCGATCTTTTCTTTTCTTGAGATAATTCGACACGTTTCTAGTTACCAACCGAGGAACACGTACGAATTAATTACTCTAGTTTTTTCGAAGAGTAGAGAGGAATATTGATTACCCCACAAAACCCAAATCTCATAGAAATTATTGAATACATTGCTTTGTTTCACTCTCCCAAGTCCCAGGGTCAAATCATTCCTCCATGGATTGCTCCATGATCGAATAGCAGACGCATACCTGTCTACCTCATAAACCCAACAAGCATGCTAGTAACGAGCCAGCCGACGACCCCAGCGATTCCATCCTCAGGAAGCCATCGATCGAGGTGGCATGGGCGTCCAATACGCAGAGGCCCTTCGCCCTGACGCTGGCGACACGACCGGATGATGAGACTTGCTCCACCTTGGCGCCGACGACCACGTACCTTTTCGCCCCAGCCGTATGCAACGAGGGTCTTCAGCCGGTGGACGGTGGACCTAGACGGTGGCGTTTGTGCGCCGATTGTTGAGTTTATGTTGCTGCACAGCAGTCACGTGTCAAGGGAGACTTTTTTGAGTTGGGAGGGAAGTACTCATACGGTCATACCAGAGAGGGAGGCGGAACCGCCGTCGAGGGAGCCCTCGCAGCTGGTGCCCAGAGACGGGGACTGTCGGCCGCTAGTAAACGTACACCTACTTGTGTGGGTCGAAACCCAGCCTTACAGTAAACATGGTACAACTTGTAAAGGAGGGTAAAAATAGGTGGTGTAAAGTGAAAAAAAGTGGCCCACCCCTAGCACAATGTACAACTTACAGTAGGTCGATATAAGTGGACTAAAGTGAAATTTACTTTAGAAAAAAAAAAAAACGTGTAGCCCGTAGGCAACTTGAAGTCGGGAAGCCAAGCCGCCGGCGCCGCTGCCCCAACCCTAACCCCGATCCCGGCAATCGACGCGCCGCCCGGCCTAGGTGCCACGGGCGGCGGCCGCCCTCTCGCCCCGCGGAAACGCCGGCGCCGCCTAGCTACCACGGGCGGCCCTCCGGCCCTCGCCTGTGGCTTCCTCGCCTTCGCTGCCACGGGAGGACCGGAGCTTTGAGTAGGTGCGCCGGCGGTGAACGGGAGCGGTGGAAGCAGTTACCCGCACCGCCATGGACACTGTCCTCCCCTCCGCTGTGCCTGACTCAGCGGCTCCTGTCGCTGGAGATTCAGGGCTCTCAGAGCAGCAGGTTTGTGCTTTTTTTTTCCCCTCAGAAAAAAAACAAAAACAGGTAGCTTAGACTGCGTTTTTTTTAATTACTAATGCCAATTACTACTGAGTTTGTTGATATACGAAACCTAAAATTGAAATTGTTGTGGGTTACCAGAAGCCATGGTAGGTTTCTTGTCCAGCAAATGCAACCTGAATTGCAATTGTCCGCTAGTATTAGGTTTTGACCGGCCTGCAAATTCCAGGTGTGCGTGGAAGTATATCTTTACGAAAGCGCAAAAGGATTGCACGTTAATATATTAGAAGTGTGTGGAAGTATATCAAGTTAATCTGCACACCGAAACATAAACGTGCTGTCCTCAAATGGAAGTATCTTGATACTTGCTGCATGTGGCAGACATCGATCCGGTGATACTAACTAACAAGTCTTTCTGTATTGTTGACATTGTTTACTGATTGGTTGTTGTACTGTTTTTCTGCAAAGGGATTATAATGGTTTCAACAAAATTCCTTCTAACTAATAAACAAATGTAGATGGATGAAGTTCTGTGCCAGCATCACAAACTTCTCAATCTCATAAGATGGTAGATGGTTGAATTAGCTCTTTCTTTTAGGAACTGGATTCAGTTAAGTCTTTTAGCATGTTGAATTTGTGTCTTCCTTTTTTGTTCACGGTAAAACTAGTCTTCTTATGGAGATACTATCAAGAAATTTATGTTGAATTTGTGTCTTTTAGCCTCTAATCTTCCAATCCTTTATTGTTCACGGGAAAATTAGCCATCTTATGGAGATACTACCAATAAATTAATGTTGAATTTGTGTCTTTTAGCCTCTTAAAACCCACCACTAAATTTTAGAATGCTTTTCAATCAATAGTTGCAAATCTCACATGGAAAACAATATATAGGCCAGTTTTCTTATAAAAACAAAACACTAAATCCGAGTGCTTTCCAGTGAACAGTGGCAAATCTTATGCATTGATCTTGATCTCATAAAAATAAAACCCTAAATTTGTGTGAATTGCCAAAAAAAAAAACTTAATGCCTGTGCATTATCATATTTGCTGAGTAACACGTTTACAATCAATTGTTGCTTTGCTGCTACATGTCAATATCCCTATAAACCTTGTGTTAATTCAAACTAAGTTATACGGTATTATGGTATTGAAGCTATAGTTTTAAGTTGCATATAACTACATGTATAGTATCTGATTAATTTGACCTCTTTGTCTTCAGCTGATTCAATATATACACTCGCTTCGGGAAAATCAAGTTGTTGACGGTTTATTCGAAGATCTTAAAAAAGAAAAACATATGAGCCTTACAAAGCTTGCTCATATACTTAAAATCACTGATGGATTGTCTAACATTAATATCGTGGAGAGTTCTGTTGAACCTAAGACAAGAGCATTGTTAGAGGGAATTCAACAGAAAGTGTAAGTATGCTGTTTATAGTGGTTCAGATATACTATTTCAATTTTTCTACTTGTTAGATATTCTCCTAAATAATCATTCCTTTATTCTTTGTTGGTCCCTTTGCTGGTTCCCAGAGCTTCCTGTCATGAACCTAACTCTCATATAGCAAATATATGTTATGATAATTACTTATTTGCTGCTTTTATATTTCATCCTATAATGGCCTGTGTCATACTGCAGATATGATGGCATAGGTCTATGTCCATCCATTGGTGGATCATTTTCGGAGTTATTGGGTAGTCTATCTCTCAGTGCTACTATCACTAAAGATCTAGGGTCTATGGAAGTGAGGCATTTGAAAAAGCCTTATCCATTATGTAGCTATTCCATTGGTTTTGTGTTGCCCTCCTGAATTCTCCAAGAAATTGGCAATCAAGTTTGTACAACCCATGTTACGACAGTGTAAATTTGTACTTAATTTTGCTTGGTTCAATCATTTATACAAAGGGAAAGCTGAAGTACCATTCCTTTCTGAATTTGGTGAGACAGAAAAGCTACAGCAAAAATTACTACTTGATTTCACTCGTGAAGTTTCAGAATTTCTTGGAGTATTGGCAGTAACAGAAGAAAACTATTTGCAAGATCCTGAATCTATGTCATCAATCTCTCTCTTTAGGTACTACTTTGGCTAACTTGTAATCTACTATCAATGTTATTTTTATGTTCTTTTTTGTTGGATGATAATTTTGATATAAAGAACAAGTAAAAAGCTGCTAATCTTATAGGTTTATTTTAACTGGTGATTGTTTTGACTGGCTGGATATGAGCCTCTTTGGGTACTTTGTGGATGATGAAGCAACAAGCAAGGCTATTCCTTTTTTACGTTCTCTCATTCACCTTGCAACAACTGATGATATGAGTCTCAGGCTCTTCATCGTGGATGATTTGCTTCCATCTATAGTTAGACGTCTAGACAATCAGCTTACTTGTGCAATCCAGTGCCAAAGACACAAACTGAATCCAGGTGCAGCTGATAGTGCTGGCAAGGACCTTGTTGTCCTTTGTCAACAATTGTATAATTATTTTCAAATCCAGGCAAGTCATTCATATTTTTTTTGCTCTTGAATTGAATATTATTATTTTGAACTTAGACGTTCTGACATGCTTTCTGCACTTTCCCCCGTGCTCTGTGGCAGGAGTTTTCTAGAGAAGGCAAAGACAATTGTAGCGCTGAATGCAGCTTTAGCGTCTGGATTGAAAAGCTGAAGAAAGATCTTGAATTAAAGGCGTCTTCTGCTAGTAAGGAACTTCCTGAGGGTTGTGAGTGGAATTGGGAGGTCTGTTCTCTTCCTGTTTGAAAATTCGAGCATCTCAAGTGTTTATTACTCCTACTTAACTTGACTTTTGGTACTCATCACTTCTTACTTTCAATATGTTCTTTTATGTTACAACTAGTTCGAAGAAGAATTTCAGAGGTACCTTCATGTTTATATGGACATCTTACAAGAAGTGAATGCAATGGATGATTGTATGGAGGTAAGTTTATTGGACTAGATACTACTTAGGAAAGATATCTTTGATTTGATAAGAAAACAAGATAAGTATTATGTTATTATAGTCAGGCTTTGGAAATTTCTAGTTGAATAATTTAGCTGGTGGATAGAAATTGTGGTCATTCTCTGATTATATGTTTTTGCAGCGTGATTATTTGGACAAAGAAACTCTCTTCCAGAAATTGAAATTTGAATTCAGATATAAGCATGCCATCAACAGCTATCAACATCCTTATATGGTGACCATTTCTTCTCTCCGACAAGTAAGCGTTTTATATACACTCCATCTTCAAACAGACACGCAAGCAAAGAGGATTCATGTGTATTTATATTGGCTAAGGGGCTTCTTTTTGGTGACTTTGTGCAGCGACAATTTTACACAAGGACTTGCTTCAGATGCAACATGCAGATATGTAAATTTCTTAGCGAACTTGTCAAACTGAAACCCTACATTAAGGTACTTATTTGAATTTATTCATTTCATGTTAGTTGAAAGCACAATTTTTTATATCTTAATGATTTGCAGGTTTCTGATTGTTCTTATGATGTTATTGAAAATCTCAAACAAAATCATGAGATACTTACTGAGATTTCAGACTGTGAAGTGGTACCATCAGTTGATGTGGGTACTTACTTTAAAATTTATTAGATGTTTTTTTTTAAATTTCACAGTCTTGACATTTTATTTTTGTTTTCAGCTTTTGCTTCATTCTGTGTTGTATATTTGGGAGCCTAGATTTCATCCTTTGATACGTGAGGTGGCTTACGGAAATTCATACATTAATCTCTTATATTTTCCTTTTGCTGAACAGCTAATTAGTAGTGCTTTTTTTTTTGGATTTAGAGCCACTTACACATACTTTTGGGAATAATTAGTCGATTAACCAAGTCAAACGAAGTAGATCACAGTCAGGTTATCCTTGCCCTTCTTTTTTATTGATATATTAACTAAGAGTGCGTTTTCATTTTGATATGGTAACTAAGAGTGCTTTTCATTTTTTTTTTTCTTCAGCAACTAGTACCAGTTGTTGGTGATTTCCCTTCACACTTACAGCCTTATGCGTATGCATTTGTTGACAATTAAGTTTAGAGATTCCATGGTATGTGGATGAATACCTGAGTTTATTCTCTCCTTTTTTTCATTTCTACCTGGATTCTAATTCTGAATAATTCCATGGTATTCTAATTCTGCATAACATTACCGGCATGCAGTAGAATAAATACAATAACTGCATTCTTGATTCCATCAATTGACATATATTATGGAAATATGATCTGTTTTTTTTAATTAGAACACTTTTGGTTATAACTGGTAGGCTCTTATAGAAATATGATGCATCACCATAGTTTTTAATGTAACTGCCCTTTCTGTACAGTATTATACTGCTGTAGAGCAAATACGCTTGCACAAAGAGTTTGACAATTATTTGTCCTCTGGTGAACTGGATCATTCTATGGATGAGTTTATTTCTTCAAAGGTAAAAGACTCTGCAGATCACCATTAACATAGCATTATGCTGTTTTCAATATTAACTTTCAATTGTATGTCATTTGCAGGATGAATTTGTAGAAGATCTCATTAGAGACGAGAGCACGATGGCACAGTTTTCAGATTTGAATCATGCTCTCTTGAAATTGTCTTTGGAGGTGCTAATGTTTCTTATGTAATGCTTATCCTTGCAATCTGTTTCATGAATACTCCCTTAGCATGTTTTTCCCCTTGCAGAGGAGAGCTGATGTTCTGGAAAATCAGCAACAAATTTGCATATATTCAGAATGTTTACGACACCTCTTGGAGGATGAGTCGGTATGCAGTATACAATTTATTAATCATCATCAGAGTTCTCTTTTTTATCAAAGTAACCTTTATTATCTGTCCTCTACATGCAGTTGCTTTATTTGTTGTCATCGTCATTCATAGGTGAAGTTAACAGTTTGCTGAATCCTATACTTGCCAATATTGCCAAAGTAGAACAGGGTCCTGTTATTATCGTTTCTAGTTGAAATAGCTGTAGTAATAAAAAGGGTGAATAGCTAATTTAGTCCCTCAAGTTTCACTGAAGGCTCAATTTAGTTCTTCAGGTTTCGTTTTGTCCACATAGGTCCCCTAAGTATTTGTTTTGGCTTAAAATCATCCTTGGAACCACATAATATGCCATATGGCTATTTCTAGTCAATATTTCTGTTAGAAAATGTCCCTCTTGCCCTTAATTTGTATACAACTATACACTATAAAAGAGAAAACCAAAATGAATAAACAATATTGCAGATGTACTTCCCATTATTTCAACATGTGCTCTTGAAACTTAAGCAATGCCTATCGTATAGACTTGCAAGTATATAATTTATTTTTGCTTTTACGTAAATTACTATGCATTATCTATAAAAAAAATCATTGCATGCAATTTTTTCTCTTATATATGTGAATGAGGGGTATAAGTGTCATTTATCAAGAGGGTTGTTGGTTATGTTTAGCCATGTGGCTTCTGAGTAGGTTCAAGGATAAGTTTGAACTCAAATGAAAACTTGAAGGACTAATACGGATAGATTGAAACATCAAGGACCAAACTGAGCCTCGGATGAAACTTGGAGGACCACTATAGCTATTCACCCTAATAAAAATGTGGAAAGTAGTTTTATTGTTCAATAAGTTCATCAACCTTACAAAACTATAGTATGTCAACGGAGTCTAATACACACTAGAACAATGGGAGTGGTCCTGAAGTACTATTTCGAGTGTAATGCATAATTTAATGGTATCAATCACATGAAAAGTTGCTAATTTTATCGCGTCCCTCAACTCTAGATCCGTTTTGAGTTTCATCCCTCAAATACAGAGCCTCATAAAATTAGTCCACTCGACTATTAAAACTGGGTATAACTTGCCCCCTCGACCTTATTTGCTAGTTAATTTGACCAACATAGGTTGTGAGGCTAGAAAGACAGTGAACTTGATGGCCCATGTCACAAAAGGTGAATCAAAGAATATTGAAATCGTGGATGATGAACCACGAACCTCTATAACAAGTGGGCTCCACTGTTTATCTCGGCTAAAATCACTGTCATAAGTTTTACCAGGTTTGAGAGTTGAATGATAGATTTCATTTGGTATTGTAGTCTATGGACAAAATTCAAATGAATCAATAGTCGAGGGGTGAGAAATTTACTTATTCATTTTACTGCTCATGCCCAAGAAATAGAATTGTTATTTTATACTCCCTCCATCCCAAAAAAAGACAAACCCTGGGTTTCCGTGTCCAACGTTTGATTGTCCGTCTTATATGAAATTTTTTTATAATTAGTATTTTCATTGTTGTTAGATGATAAAACATGATTAATACTTTATGCGTGACTTGTCTTTTAAATTTTTTTCATAATTTTTTCAAATAAGACGGACGGTCAAACGTTGGACACAGAAACCTAGGGTTTGCCTTTTTTTGGGACGGAGGGAGTAGTGTGGACAGACTTTTAATGGAACATTGTTTAATCCCAGCTCACCATTTTGCGATATTCTCTTGAAGATACAGACTGCAAGGAAAATTGAAGAAACAAAAACTTACACATGGAAATGCTCAAACCAGATTTTTACTTTCCTCAAGTGGGAACTTTAGAGTTTAGAGTCTAACGTATAATATATTAGATCCTTAAAAAGTGTTGTAAAGCTAGGTTGTCAACATTCATGGAAGTATACCCAGAATTTAATGATTACTCTATCAAGAGTACAACTATCTTATGCTAGTCATATTGGCAGTTAACAAAAGTTTTCTTTTCATCTGACATTAGATATTTCAGTGTATTGACCTTTTTTTGTTTTTGGATTACTATGTGCGTATTGTTGGAACTAAACAAACCACACAATATGACATTCTGACTGAATATCTGAAATGTTTTTGGGATGTAAATTTTTCATATCCTTTGACAAAAGTGGAATTGGTGAATAACCTCCTGATGCTAGATTTAAGATACTCCCTCTGGTCATAAATATTTGACCTTTATGTTTGGTCAAACTTTTGGAACACTGACCATCAATAACTTCTAAATGTTTAGTTTAAGAACATAAAAATTCAAGTCATGATGTCTTGCTATGATCCACTTGAATGTTTTGCATATAATGTGCAATCCTTGAAACATTGCATGGTTTAGGGTTTTAAAGACTGGTATTGTCAAAAATAGGGCATGTTATCTCATGTTTGCAGAGGCTTTTTCATAGATTGTTGACTTGGACTTGTCTTATATTAATTTTCTTTTATATTCTTTTGTAGTTGGTTTTCATAAACAGTTTATAGTATCAAGATTGTGCTATGGATAAAATGCCAATTAGGTCCATTTTTCTTAATACAGTCAAAATCAAATTGAGTGGTAGGAGGTATAGAATATTTGGGCCAATTAGGTTTGTATTCATTCATCCTTGATATGGTACTCTTCGCTATTCAATTGTGCCTTTTTGTTTGTAACACTCTGTAGTTAAATATTGCTTCACCATGATATGATTTTTCCTTTGCCTCTGCTGATATCATGATATAAGTTTTGTCTTGTTGGAAGAGTGAAGACCATTATATTGGTAAAGACAACTGGAATGGAAACTTTGCACCAGCTGATTTTGGTTCTTTTCAGCATAAGAATTTCTATCATTGTTGGGACAATTTGGTTCCAACAATCATCAAACATCCTTAATACTGTAGCATACTCATATGTGCAAGTAAACAGCATGCAAGAATTTCATCTCTGATGCATTTATCTTAGACACTAGTTTAATAGAAGTGTCAATTATTCCTGTTTTACTATCGATGTTTTTAGTTCAAAATTCTGTTGACCAAATCTCAAATTTCAAATACAATTTCAGCTAAAGGATTATATCAAAAGGTTGATGAATGATCACAAAACGGAAGGTTTTTTCGACACGAATGATGATTCTATTAACTGGGTACTTGTCATAGTGGTAAATTTATTTATTCCAATAGTTATCATGCACTAACTTGTTGCTTGGATTTTAGGACAAGAAATGCTTTTCAGATCTTGTAGATGAATTCAATGAGAGAGTTTTTTCTGGGCATTCCCTTCCTAAGCATTACATGATCAGAGGAATCATTGTAGGTCTTCTGTAGTTCTAATTTTGTTATTCTCATCTATTCCAAATTAATATTTCAAATGCAATCTGTAAATAATGTCAGGATTGTTGGTTAATCTTCACGCGGAAGGGTAACTCTTGGCAAGATACTTTCGAAGAGGTAGTATACTGAGTCTTTTACTAGTCAATGTTTCATTTTTATGGTGCATCCTTGATGATATATCAAACTTATTGGTGTCTTCTATTAGGTGGTTGTTGAAGCATGTGAAAGGTGGACTGAAAATCGTGAGAAGGTATTGAATTCTGGATTGTCTTATCATGATTTAGTATTTGTTTATTTATTTAGGTTGATTGAACAGTGACAGTATTTTTTTATACATCTAGAAGTGTTACTAAAATTCAGGATGTAAAAAATATGTCAGACTGATATTTTTGTACAAATAGAACATAATGTCAGTGTACTGACAAAAAAATTGTCTTCTATTTTGTATGTAGACCAAGGTGATTGAAAGTTGCTAAACTAAAAAAAGTGTCGTTATTTTCTTTCAAGGACTGGATTCAATGCATGCGTACATGACATAGGAAATAAATCTGTATATCTATTAAAAATATAGTGAAAAGCTCACTTATTTACATTGATATCTGCAATGTATCTCGTATCGATGGATAGAACTTAAATAATGTGCTATAAACTTAGATGGAGGGAGTAGCAAAACTCCCAATCGGCCCAGAAAAGAGATTCACTCTAGATATACAAATTGGAAAACTTTAGCTATTTTCTCACTTCTTACTGGTAGTTTTTGTCATTGTGTGGAAGCCACGAAAAGTGTTCGAGAAGTGCATAAATGCAAAAATTTCGATTGTTGTCTCTTCACTTGTTTATTTGTTTTCTTGTATGTTATGCCCAATATTGGATGGATTCAAGATACTATGAGCACCACTACTATGACATTGTTAGACGACCCTTGCAAGAGGTTAGTATTATTAGTTTATTATTAATTGGGAAGTTCATTTTATTAGTTGGCTAGCTGCTCTCCCCTTTTTTTCTTTTTCTTTTTTTGGGTTATTCTACCTTGCTGCCAGTATGTTGATGTCTTCTAGTTGTTTATTGAGCAGGTTTTTTCCTCGTTTCTTCCATCAATAGAATCTCGCCGTTAGCAGCTAAAAAGTGAAGATCGCCCTGCAGATGAGTGTAGCCTGTCAAGGAGCCCTCACCAGGGCAACAATGCCATATTTTGATATATATCCGGATGTGACTCCGGCTCGGGCGCCCGATGGGAGGAGGTTAAAATCGGCGCCTGATTTACGTGCAAAACTATTTTAAACTGATTTTTCTCTTAAATTACTTATCCAAATAATGATCCGATTGCACCATTAAATTCGTTGTAATTAAATATTCGAAACAAGATCACACGTGGATATATTCCGACGAAAACAAAATTTAGCTTATTATTGAATTATTTTTAAATGTTGCACGATGTTCCACTAGGTATATCGGAATTGTTTCACTGATTAGATCGAAAATGTTTCACTCGTTTAAATCAGACGTTGTTTCACCTTATATAAAAATAATGTTTCAGCAAATAGCGAAAGAATGTTTCAGTTCACTGCAACATTTGATCCATACATAGTGAAACATTGTAAAACATTGTAAGTACATTAGGTGAAATATTTTTTGTGGAACAAAAAATAAAACAAATTTCCTTAACAGAGGATTTCTAAAATATGTGGGTGATTTGTTGCAATGGAATATTTTAGTTCACTGCAACATTAGATCTATATATAGTGAAACGTTGTGAGTGTACTAGATAAATATTTTTTATGGAACAAAAAGTAAACCAAATTCCCTTTATAGAGGGTTTCCAAAATATGTGGGTGATTTGTTGCAATGGAGTTATGTGTGTGTGGAAGTGGCAGGTGGGGGCAGGGGACACGTGGGTGATTTGTTGCAATTGAGTTATGTGTGTGTGGAAGTGGAAGGTGGGGACAGGGACACGTGGGTGGCGACGCGCGAGCAACCAATCCTTGACGCTCCCGTGCCGGTCGACCGATATAAAGCGTTATCGTACATATACAGCTAGAATTTTAGGATGGTTGCCTTGTTACCATATTGATCAGCGTTCGGCGAAAAATGAGAGGCAAACCGTGTGCTCTGTCGAGGTAGTGCATGGATTAGTAATACTAATGTTAGTACTAGCCGAATGCCAGTATGTTGTTACCATATTTGCAAAAATTTAGTGATTTCAGATATGTTTTATTTGGTTGGGTTCAAAACGAAAATCTTGGTTTCTTCTAGCTTTGGTAGGGCTGCTGCAGCGATTGCTGGTAAATAAGCACGACTTTACTTTGCTGTTGCTGCTCCCCAACCTCGGTAGTGTTGGGGATGAACGTTGGCACCTCGTCCGTGATGGGGAGGGGGCCGCCTTCCCCTCCGGCCCAGACGGCGTCTCCTTTTCGACGGCCTCATCCTCGAAGGCTGTTGCCAGTGCTACTGCTACGAGTATGAGTAAGAAGATCCTGATCACGAGGTCGAGCCCAAGCCCAAGTCAAAAGACAAGGTTGAAGGAGAAGGTGGTGTTGCTACCGTCGCCTTCAAGTCATCCTCTTCAAGTAAGGAGCGTCTCTTCAATAACTTGAGTGATGACGACGACGACTCCTACCACTACTCTTACTTCATGGCCCAAGGCCGCAAGGTGATGACTCAAAAGCCCTCCCACACTTCTCTTGATGTTGATTCTAGTGATGAGGAAAGTGATAATGAATTAGATGATGTGCTTAAGAGCTTTAGCAAACCTGCTATGCAACATTTGGCTAAGTTAATGAGAGCTTTGGATAGTAAAGAACAATCACTCGAAAGGCAAGAAGAATTGCTTATTCTTGAGAAGAAAAGAAACCTTGCCTTAGAGGAGAGCTTAGCTAAAGAATGTGACAAAAATGAACAACTTGCTAATGATCTTAATTTGGCTAATGGTTCTTTAGCTAGCCTTAGGGATGTCAATGAAACCCTTCAAGAAAAATTTGCTAATTCAGACAAAAGTCATAAAGATCAAGTTCAATTTGATACTCTTTGGAATAGCACCTCTCAACCAAATGTGGTTTCTAATTCTTCTAACCCTTCTACTAGCAATAGTTGTGCTAGGTGTTACAATATTGATTTGAAATCTTATGCTACTAATATTGATGCTATGCAAGCTCTTAAGAAAGAGAATGAAAGGTTGGGCACATTGGTGAAATATGGATGCATGAAGACATACCATTTAAAAGATGCCCTTTACAAGACCATCACCGCTCATCCTAACAAGGATGGACACGGGCTCGGGTTTTTGGGTGGAAGTCCTGTGTCTAAGCGCGTGATGGTAAATGGGAAAGAATGCTTGATGTTTGTGAGAGAAGGTAAAGCACCACAAGCAAGTGAGGTGACTAGGCTTGTGAACTGCCAGGGACCCGGAACATCCGGACAGACCGGGAAAAACCTCCGGGTGGGAGTATCTGTCTCTCAAAAATTCCCACCAGGAAGTTCCGGGCCAATGGCCGTGCACAAGACATGACCGGAAGTTCCGGGCACAATGCCAGAAGGTTCCGGCCAGAGGGTCTTTACTATGATTCATATGTAATCTTCAAAAATTCAGAGAGCAAAGTGGTTGCCAATTTTAATGGGAATTACAATGATGAGTACCGCACTTGTGTGTGGGTGCCAAAGGCTTTGGTAACTAACATCAAGGGACCCAAACTTAGACAAGTTTGGGTTCCTAAATCCCAAGCTTGATTTCTTTTGTAGGCATACTCCTCCGGTGGTTCAAGTTGGGTTGTGGATAGTGGTTGCACCAATCATATGACGGGAGAGAGGAGTATGTTTACAAGTCTTGATAAGGAGAACGAAACTCGTGAGAATATTGTGTTTGGAGATGATGGTAAAGGAAAGGTAATTGGTCTAGGTAAAATTGCCATCTCCAATAATCAATCTCTCTCTAATGTTCTTCTTGTCAATTTATTAAGCTATAATTTATTATCTGTTTCTCAATTGTGTAAGTTGGGTTACAATTGCTTGTTTACCGATGAGGATGTGACCGTCTTTAGAAGGGATGACTCCTC